GCAGGAAGCGCTGGGTACCGAGCATGCTCGGATGTGCTCGGGCCTCTGCTTGGGATGGAGTCCAGTACAGCTCATAGACTGCTGGGGAGTCGGGAGGGAAGGCCTTCACGCGCTCTTGGTTGGCAGCAGCATAGTCCTTGATCCTCTCCTTCCAGTCGAGGGCTTTCTCTCGAGGCACCACGTTCCTGATGACCACGGAACCTCTGTGACGGATCTCCGCAAGAAGATGGTCTGGGACGGTGTCATTGACGACATCTGAATATTGCACAGATGGGATGATCTGGACCTTTTGTCAGTGTCACTCATACATATAGAAGATGCCATGGGAACTTACATCGCTTCCTTTGGTCTTAATCTTGTGCACTTCCTCTTCCAAGCTGGGAAGGAGTCGTTCCCAACTTTCCTTCAAAGCCTTTTCATTCTTTTCAAAGTATTTCAGCTTCAGATCCCTGAACCGCGGGGGTAGGGGCTCTGGCTTATAGTCTGGTCTCAAACTGGGGAAGACGCTGGAGATATCGCCCGCAGCCTTGGTCATCGACGACGCTGAAGTCGACGTGGACGCGGCGCGGGCGGCCGTTTTTGAAAGAAATTTAGACATAGACATGATATCTATCTTTCCAATAGGTACTTGGAATCTGGATATTTCTGATCACTGGCAGACAGGACCTCTTGCGATTGATATACCTGCAGCTGGGGCGGAGCATTGTCGGAAACCCATATCCAGCAGTCGGCCCGATTACTAGATACGGAAGGTCCCCGCCTCCCCCGCAAAAAGCGGCAACAAGAAAATGCGGGAATGTTGCTCTTTGCGGGATCCACATTGCCCCGGAATGAACTATTGCCTTCACTCGAGGTTGTCTCATACGTATTTTTGAGGCGAAAAATAGAAGGAAGCTGGGATTTATCAGGTCATGGCTCGGGGCTACAGTTCAGGCTAGCCATCGTACTTACTGATAGGCAATTGATACGAAGGCACCCTCTATAACAAATCCGCTGCAACCGCCCTTGCACTTCCTGCACCGAACGCAGTGGATCAGGTCTCGCTGCCAATGACTTCAAGCGAGCTGATCGGCACTTTCACCGAGGGGAGCACCCCGAGAGGCAGCGGTCAGATAGGAGTTGATGACTTGTCCTCGGTCTTATTCCGGGTTTCTACCACCTTTAGGGCTCTCGTCCTCGGTCTAGTGATACAGCGACATGCCCATGGGGTAGGCCTGGGTCCCGTATCGAACCCCTCCGGAACAGTTATAAAGTAGCACAGGGCCACTCGGCAGAAAGCCACCTAACCACCAAACCACACTCCCCATTGCAGCTCCCTGGGCCTCAATCCCGCTTTAGAATGTCCTTCGCCGTTCAAGGCCGAGCTGCTATCGTGACGGGGGCAGGTTCAGGTTCGTCACGCATGGTATTCGGCCGATAAGCAAACCTCACTCTAAGTCGTAATTGTAGGAATCAACCTGTCCTTCGCCAAACTTCTCCTCGAGCATGGATGCAATGTCCTGTTCGCCGATCTAGCTCTACGTCCAGAGGCAAAGACGCTAGTGGATCAATACTCAGCGAAGGGGAAGACGCCACGAGCCGTCTTCCAGCGGACCGACGTGACCGATTGGCAACAGCTCGAGCGCATGTTCGAGGTAGCAGAGCAGGAATTCGGAGAGCTTGATATTGTGTGTCCTGGTGCAGGCATCTTTGAACCGGTATAGTTTCCCTATCCACCGATACCTACCAGTGTTATGCATCACGCAAGGGGTAGTATACTGCAAGCACGTTCGATTGCTCACGCTCGATTTTACCTCACAGCACTGGACCAACTTCTGGCGTCCTCCAGGAACCCCTGAAAGCCGTGACCCGCGGTATGGAGGTCGCTACGCCCTTCTTGATATCAACCTCACGCATCCGATTCGCACGACGCAGCTAGCCATTGCCCATTTTCTACGTCATGGCAACAAGCAGCGACGCAAGCACATCGTCCACATCTCCAGTATTGCCGGCCAGAACCCCAACTTCATCGCCCCGATCTATGTTGCCACGAAACACGGCATCAATGGCTTGGTACGGTCGTTGGCTGGCCTGGACCAGGAGTGCGGGATCCGTATCACAGCTGTTGCGCCGGGAGTTATCAAGACACCGTTGTGGACGGACCATCCTGAAAAGCTCAAGGTAGTGAATGAAGGGGCGGATGCATGGGTAACTCCAGAAGAAGTAGCAGAAGTCATGTTGGCGCTTATCCAACAGGACAAGGTGAGCGGTATCATTGGGGATCAGAGTGGTCGTGGTCCCCAGTACCCAGTCAGTGGTGGAACTATCCTGGAGGTCTCCAAGACAGTTCGGGCAGTAGAGCCTTTCAATGATGCTGGGCCTGGAGATCGTCCAGGAAATACGGTCTCCGATAACAGTGCAGTGATTAACGAGACACTTGGTCTGCTGTCGCAGCCTGGATGGGGAGTGCCCAAGTTGTAGATAGATGGAGATAGAAAATATACTAATACTATTTTGGCTTTCAAGATGCTGAAAGCTTAAGCAATTCCGAAAACGAATAACCATGATCTACTCACAATTGGTAATATGAGCCAGTTTCGCATAGCTTCAACTACTGGAATCGAGCAGGTGGCGGCCAAATCCCATCTCTATCCTCTCTATATTTCGCATTGACGGCCGCATGCAACCTGGTCAGCTCCGAGGTATATCGATAGGGCTTTCGTCTCGCCTCGCCCTGGAGATCGCGCTGGACCAATCGCGCAAACAAAGTCGGGGCGATATGCTTGATGTCGACTTTAAGGGGTTGTAAAGCCTCAGGCTGAGCTCCAGTCGCAGCTCCAGTCCCAGTTCCAGTATCCGATTTTGAGTTTGTCTCGTGCTCTGTCCTTGTCTCAAACAGGGGTTCAGGCTCAGCTAACCAGAGATACGGCCGTGTCGTTTCACGCGAGCGGAAAGCCTCGTCATCCAGATATAGAAAAGCATCGCGCCGAAAGCCAGCCGGGACCTCACCATTTTGGAGCATTGCCCTGAACCTGCTTCGTAGTGCACTCGCCTCCATGCTGTTATTACTAGTACTACCTGGAACAGCCACCCAGTGCAATGCGAACCGGTCTCTCGTCTCGTCCTTGATCAACCTCGCTGAATAGTGTAGTCCATGGTAAACAGCCGTTTCGATCAGGGATTTATATTCTGGAAGGCGCCCTCCTTCCTTTTCTTCTTCTTTCGGGTATAATACCACGAGACCAAAGCGACCACCTGCTTCACCAGGGCCCTGACCACCAGGGCCAGATCCAGAAACAGAAGCAGAATCACGCGCCGAAGCTGAACTGGATTGCAGTACATGCTCCTGCCAGGGAACCCTCAAGGCAAACAGAATATTCCTAATGTCATCATCGTTCAGCGCGTTGGCCGCCGCCAATTCCGCCTTTCGCCATCGCTGCAGAACCCTCTGCGCCACCTCAATAGCAGCCCGAAGATCGTCTGTCCTCGCCGCTACTATAGCTCGAGCCTTAAGGTCCCGGTCTTCGGGAGAAAGGCGTGCCACCTCGGACAGGATACGGCCCGATTGTCCCTCGACTACGCCGGTCGTTAAAAGACTGGCTTCTTTATGGCTTAAGCCGAGGCTGCCAAGCGGGATGTCATCGCCGGTGTTGCTGCGGCTATTGATAGCTTTGGTAATTAGTTCGCCCATGGACAAGCCGCAGGCATTTCGACAGAGGGTGTCTTCCTCGTCTGGTGGGGGGCGGTAGGTGATGAATCGACGTTCTTGATCTGTTAGTGAGGAGGGGTTGGATATGGCGCGGTTGTAGAGGGTGCGTGTCGATTCATCTAGGACTAAAGGGGTGGTATCTTGAGCATTGATGGGGAGCCACATTATGTTGACAACTGATTATGTGATTATCTGGAAAGAAGAGGATTATTGTGTGTAAGAACTTGGGGGTAGCAGAACTAGACTGCTGTTGTCTTAAGCGGCATGGATAGTTTTAACTTAAAATAGCCCTCATAGTAACAACTTATATAACTATCAAAATATAATTTATAAAAAGTAAGATATAAGACTTCATAATTACCAAATAAAGATAAAATTAGTGCCCAAGTTGTAGATGCTAGATGAACGGGATAGAGCATCTAATACAATTCGAGAGGGCAAACGAATACATGTCATGCAAGCACAAGAGGTACGGATATGCTTACTCCGTTAGTTAACTACGTAGTTACGGTGTGGCTGGTCTGGGTGACTCAGGCCAGATTCAGCCAAATATGGAAACTCTTTCCAGTCTCATCCTGTCGCCAGCTACGAAGGATAATATTACGTATTACTGGGTCAAGGCAGGCAGGCACTCTGCAGATTGCGCGAGGGCACTAAGGAATGGTGTATGACCTGTGCTTCAGCCTGGAGTAGTACTCCACTCACTGTCTCAGTAAGTACATGACCTGGCTTACTGTCCTTACCACAGCAGTAAGTCTGTAATCTTCTAAGCAACAAAACAATGCTTCAAAACCAGCCTTCTTTTGAACTTGATTATGAGCTTCTGATAACATCGCATGATACGACCAAGTAGACAACTAGTAGACAATAGGAAGGTGTAGTTGTGACAATCTGGGGAAAAGAAGTAAAGCCACCAATGGCGGAGGGCGATAAAGGGACTGACTAACCAAGGCTCTCCACCGCCTCCGCTCCTTCGGCGGCATTTGGATTGCGCTGTTCATTCCCTTTCCCTTTTCCTTCTTCTTATCTCCGGATGTCTTTCCCTTCTCCAACCCCTCTTTTTTCTTAATTTCTCCTTTAATTCTCCCTCTCCAACTAACTTCTTCGCTGATTTGTTTTCCGTTCCTTACCGACTTCCGAGCACATCTCCCGCTGCACCGCTGGTTCGAGTGAACTTCGACCGACTATGGTTGGTTGATCACCCGCAATCTTTTGTCGTGTGGCCACCTTCAATCCTTATCTACCGCCTCCAAAAGAACTACTTCTACCACCTCAACACAACTCGAATCTTCCTTCAACTTACTCCCTCACGATGATGGACGACGAAGCTTCCGTCGGGATTGGCTCCCCTCGAGCCGGTTCTCGAAGGTAACCTATACTACCTCCAATTCGGAGTACTTCCCCTGCTCTCAAGCCTTATCGCTGACAGGTACCCATCGGTCGCAGACACGGCGGCAAAGGGAAACGAAGCATCGGACATCATGGCGACGCCAGTTGGGTCAGCTGTGTGATCAACTTGGTCAACACAAGTAAGCCGGGCCGGAAACTATGTACCTTTACTCCGCAATCGTTACTGACTCATGCTCTGTCCTCGCCTCTTAGTTATCGGTGCCGGTGTTATGGCCATGCCGCTGGCCATCTCTCACATGGGAATCGTCCTCGGTGTCTTTGTGATTCTGTGGTCAGGAATGACCGCAGGTTTCGGTCTATATCTCCAGTCTCTATGTGCCCGATATCTCGAACGAGGCACTGCATCCTTCTTTGCCTTATCCCAGATCACCTATCCTAATATCGCTGTCATCTTCGATGCCGCCATTGCGGTCAAATGTTTCGGAGTCGGTATCAGCTACCTCATCATCATTGGCGATCTGATGCCGGGCGTGGTTCAAGGATTCGTTGGAGGTGCTCCCGACTATGACTTTTTGGTGGACCGGCACTTCTGGGTAACAGCCTTCATGTACGCTGACTACGGCATTGAGTGCGTCGGACAGAGCTAACTAGTTTTAGGCTGATTGTTATCCCTCTCTCGTACCTCCGTCGCTTGGATTCGCTCAAGTATACAAGTATTGCAGCTCTGGTCTCGATGGCCTACTTGGTGGTTTTGGTCGTATACCACTTTGTGAAGGGGGACACCATGGAGGACCGTGGTCCGGTTCGAGTGATTCACTGGGCAGGCCCTGTACCTACCCTCAGCAGTCTGCCTGTGATTGTTTTCGCGTTTACATGCCATCAGAACGTATGGCCCGAGACCCACAATCCAGATATTTACTTCCATGGTTCATTGCTCTGACGTGCACCCCAGATGTTCTCAATCCTGAACGAGATCGGCAACAACAGCCATTTCCGAACCACCGGTGTTGTCCTGGCCAGTATCGGCAGTTCTGCCGCCACTTACATTCTTGTGGCCATTACTGGGTACCTCTCCTTTGGAAACAGTGTCGGCGGAAATATCGTGAGCATGTACCCACCGGGTCTTTGGGCCACGATTGGCCGCGCTGCTATCGTCATGCTTGTCATGTTCTCGTATCCTCTTCAGTGCCACCCGTGCCGGGCCTCCGTTGACGCAGTGCTGCGCTGGAGGCCCAAGTCCTCGTCCAATAGCGACACCTCCCCTCACCGGAACCCCCTCCTGGGGCAGAGGGGCGGCCGGACTGCGGAGCCGATGAGTGACCTCCGATTCTCGATCATTACGACTACCATCCTTGTCCTGAGCTACATTGTGGCCATGACTGTGTCTTCCTTGGAGGCCGTTCTTGCGTATGTCGGCAGCACAGGAAGCACCAGCATCAGCTTCATTCTCCCCGGATTGTTCTATTACAAGATCTCCTCTCCCGATTCGCCCCACCACCAGCGTCTGATGAAAGAAGACGACGAAGCAGCGGAAGGTATGCTATCCGATGATAGCAATGATGAAGACGGAGAAGAGAGCGTGCAGGCACGCCCCCTAACCGACAGCGGCATCCTCCGCCGAGGAAAACGCAACTGGCGCCGAACCCTTCTACGAAAGTTAAGTTTGGCACTCGTAGTATACGGGGTGGTGGTTATGGTCGTATGCCTGATCACGAACTCTGTTTTCATTGCTTCTCACTAGACGGGTTTTGGTTTGGTTTTGGATGCGGGGAAGTGAAAAGATCTGGATGCGTTCCATTTCCGTCCACTAGCTTTTTGACCCTCGTGTGAGGTGACCTTTTCCGCCTTCCTACTAAATTTAGACACTCCCTACCAATTTTCTTTTCTTAGGTTTATTTCTTTGTTTCTTGCATCTATTGGTTTCCTTTCGGGTTTGCGATCTAGATCTGGGCTCTTTTCGTCCTACGGTTACAATGTTGGGGTTTCTGCACGCTATACCATTGCACCGGCGTTGGGGTTCGTGTTTGGTCCGGTTTAGATTAACGTCTTAAACCTTGGAATACATTTTTCAATCTAATGATGCCTTTACTCTCTTACCTTTCCATCTCTCTTGCTAGGTAGCTTGTCTTGGCTCTGTAAAGTTATCTTCTATGAATCTGGTTCCTTGCTTTCCATAGATAGATACTCCGGTTCAGATAAACACAGAACTTATTGAAGTCGATCTACTACCCATCAAGTACTACTAACCTACCAATCACTACTACAAGCAAGGAAGTCTTATCACAGAGGTCATTGCAACTATGTATTGGATGTTAATAAACAGGGCTTGTCTGAACGAGTGAGGAGAAGTAAACAGAGAACAACGCAACTAAAGCTAACGGATGAGTACAATATCATTAGGCAATACAAGCAAGTCAGGCGAGGTATTTTATCACCGCATAAAACATAGAAAAGAGTCCAGTCCATCTCACGGTCACTCACTGCGTTTCCTCAACCACCACCACCAGCAAGTAGCACAATCTGTATCAATCCACATTTACCCCCACTACCACCTTTCCTTTCTTCAATCCATCAAGATAACAACCAGGTTATGATCAACCTAGTTATTATTCTGACTATTCAGAATCCTCAAAATCGCCAAAAACAGATTCAAGATATCCAAATACAGCGAAATGCTCGCGGCAATCTCCTCCTCAACATGATAATGCCTCATCACCAACTGGGTATCAACAAGAATATACGCGGAGAAGATCAACGCCGCAAGGCCCCCATAAATCAGCTCGACGGTGCTATTCGCAGGGAAAAACACAGCCACGAAGCCAAACAAGATGAGGAACCACAGGCCACCGAAGAGGTAGGGCATCCAGTTAGTGAAGTCGTACTTGGTCTGGCAGGCGAAGAGGGTGAGAGCGACGAAGAGACCGAGAGTGAGGATGAGGGCTTGGATGACGAGCCGGGCATCGTAGAAGGAGGTTACGACGCTGATGGAGTAAGCTTCGAGGAGGGTGAATCCGGATAGGAAGAGGAGGTTGGCCGGGTAGGATTTGCGCTTCCAGTAGGTGACGAGCATGAAGCCTAGGGCGCCGAAGACGGAGACCATCATGAGCCAGAAGTTGGATTGGATCCAGAGGCGGTAGCTGGGGGAGAAGAAGGAGATGGAGCTGAGGATGGTGGTGAGGAGGAGTTGGGCCGTTCTGTTTGTGGTTACTCTCTTGTTAGTTTTGTTCTGATGATATTCTCGATTGCTTCCTCGGGGTATAGAATGGGTGGTGCTTACAAGATGGAATAGACCTTCCGGATGAACTGCATACGGATGGGCAAGGTGCCCTCCGCGACGGTGCCGCCGAACTAATCAATTACATTGTCAGTTGGTTTCGTTCTCTCAGATGATGCAAGCTTCTTTGTTGAGGGTGGTGGTGTATGTACCTTGAAATCATCAGGAACATTGTCGTCCTCGCTGCGTGGCGCTGCTTGCGAGTAGTCGGCCGTTGCCTGATAAGACGGCGGGGGTTGAGGATAGGCGCGCTCCTCGAAGGAGTCGCGCTGCGGAGCAGGCTCGTATCTGGTGTTCGCTGCCATTTGCAACTGCGATGAATTTCAGTTGTCTCTGACGCTGTCAGACTAGTAGTATGGATGGAATGAGTTGATGGGACAGTCTGTCATATTAGATAGTAGGATAGACTAATCGGGGAAAGGAAGGAGAGAGGAGAGAGGGCCGAGAACCGCTGCGGCGCCGCGGCTCAACGGCGCTCCGGGGCAGGTGACGTCGGTGGTGTCACCTGATGGTACCAGTGCCTTAGGCAGAGGTTTACTATCGCCATCTAGTATGTTCTAGTAGTATGCATAGGATTCACTACGTTTACCCTATCAAATTGGTCTATACAACATTTCATGTGAGGATTCAATTATGGCAGAACCTTTCAGGATCATAGTAGTACTGTAGTGCTCCATTAACTCCTATCATATGCCTCTATTATGTTAGTATGTATCATATCTATCGTAATAAGTATATATATGCCATCAAAAAGAAATCGTAAAGCAAGTTGTCACCCATAAGTCACCGTCTGCTTCCCCTCTAGTTTCGCTCTTCGTGGAACGGAAGCTCTTCCATAATCACATCATCATCCAAGGACGCTCTGCCGTCGTGGAATTCATCGTCAGTGGAGTCATCTGGCGTATCCTCTGAGCCACGGAGTGGCTGGTCGCCTGGATCTTGGCCCGGACGCTTCTTCCGCTGAAAGTCCTGTGCATGCGCTGAAGCCAGCAACGAGCCGACACGGGAGAGGCCGCGATTGCGGACCGACATGCCTGGAGTGGACGGGGTGCCGTGCTCCACATCGTGTGCTTGCGGTTGCTGCTCTTCCAGGGGCACACCATCTGCTTGTTGGTCAACCTGCGCTGGCGGGAGGGAGACCTGGTATGGCAGAGGCACATCCCTGGACGCCCGGAACAGCAGGACGTTGGTGCAGTGCTCATTCTCCACACGGAAGATCGTCCAGATACCTCGTCGGCAGACTTCTGACAGCGCCACGAAGAAGCTGAGTAACGCGGAGTGCTGCATATCCTTCGTGAAGATGGCGTAGAAGATCCAGTTGAATCGCACGATAACGTCGATGACCATCGCAACATAGTATACCCATGCTTTACGGAACGCCAGGACATCACGCAGCAACGGGCGTTTGGCGTAGGCGTTCCCCAAACTCCAATCCATGACAAGGTCCCAAACCGACACATACACGGCGTTGAGCAGCGCAAAGGTGATGAACGTAGCCTGGAAACGTTCCGCTTTATCGATGCGATACAAGCTCAGAGTGACATAGTACAGAATAGTGAACGTGTATTTGCCAAAGTTCAGCAAATGCGGGAAGACGTTCCTAGTATCTGCGTAACGTCGCAGACACTGCAAAGCTCTCCAAATGCCCGGTAGGCAGGTAAAGAACCCAAGCAGCCTGGAATGCGAAGAATTGCACTGGGGAGGGTTACCCCAATAATTTGCGTAGAGACAGAAGAATAATTCGATATTCTAACACAAATCAGCCACAAGACGTTAAGCGTACGACAACCGGGTTACTCACACCCATGGCATATGTCTGGGAGCAATACATATCCCCAAGAAAGAAATCACGGAACTCAACAGGATAGAACCCTGCCAGGAGCAGACGCCACTAGATTCGTTAGCAGTGACTTAGAACCAGCTATAGACGGCTTCACTCACATTAGAATATGCCCACCATTTGCGGCTGCGGTGGTACAGTGTCCGCACGGGCAGGAAAAGAAGGACCGTGGTCAAGCCGACAAGGACAACAGGCCAATAAATATACATGCTATTAACTGACATGAAATTGAGCCACATGCAGAGACCCAGCAGAAAGAAGAAAAATGACGGCAGCTGTTACAGTCAGACACAATCAAGAAACGCACGATAAAGCACCATACCTCAGTAAGCTGACGCCAGTCTAATGCATGCCTGGTATCATATTCAAACACAAAGACGTAGTTGATCTTGGCCCGAGTCCAGACCATACAGTCTAGGCAAAACAGTAGGAAATGAAGTACAACGAGGAAATAGCCCCCATATATCTGCGCACAATTAGCTAGCAGCAGGCACCCAGAACGATAAATACTGACCTGAAGCAAGTAGCTTGTAAAAGTCTTTAGTTCACTATCCCGATCATGAAGGTTTTGCACGGCATATACTAATGACTGAGCGCCAAACAGGACACCACCCATCAAAAGCACACCGGCACGGAACGTGCACGGCGAATAATCTCCGGATTTATTGATAGTGTGGCGCAACTTTGAAGCGGCAATCTTGCGGTTGCCGCGCTCGAAGTAACGAGCGTACAGGTCTTCTGCAGCGGACAGTAGATTCTCAGTGACCTCGCTTTGAACGAACCACGACTTGTTCACTTTCTCAGACATATAACGCTGCGCAGGACGCGCATTAGTAGTCTTGTCATATTTCTTGTTGATCTTCCGGAAAGCAGTCCTGTTCAGGTAGGCGTACGCCTTCAGCAGCTCCACACCGCGGTAGTACTCCTGAAGCGCGTGCTTCAGCTTCCTTTTAGCGGAGCGATAGGATACATCGCTGTTGGTCGGGTCCTCGGGCCGACGGATGAAATCGCGACGCGACACCGTATGGTCGGGATCCTGTCCTTGTAAGGCTGCTGAAGGGGTGCCCAACTCTGCAAGGGCTTTAGAGTTCTTCCCGAAATGACGTCCAGTGAGAGCGCCGCGTATGCCGAAGCCAGCGAGGCCACCTAGGGGGCCGAATGCATGAGACTTTGGCATTCCTTCTTTCTCTGGCCGGGCCAACTTGGCACCTAGAACTTCCTGTGTGCGTTGGTCCCGCATGATATGCAGCTGATGACGAAGCACTTTGAGGCGTTCTGCGGCCTCCTCTTCCTTCATCTGATAGAAGGATTCTATTTTGGTCAACTCGCTATCCAAGAAGGCGAAGAACTCGTCCTGGCGCTTCTCGAACTCAGAAGACCCATCCGCTCCACGCTTCTCTGGGGAATCCCAGTCCTGATAGGACAGGACGCGCTGGAGCAACGAACCTCTCCGGTTTGGAGGGCCTGGGGTTGCATTCCGCTTATGATCCTTCTGGGGCGTCGCAGGACTCCGCTGAACCATGCCCTTGGTCGCAGTTCGTGTGCTCGCATGTCGCGACATCACCGGCGACGGTGTCTCAGGTACACTGGTCTGCTCCGCATCCCTCTCCGACGAGTAGTCATTATGCTTTGGGTCGATCGCGGGATCTGGCAGTCGAAGGGAGGCGACATCCGATGATGCAGCGTTCAGCGGAGGAGAGGGAACGATACTTCCGTAGCTTCCAATGACGCCTGAAAACCTAGAGCCGGGTACACGCAGGGGCTGACGCTCGCTGCGGCTAGAGCCTGAGCGCGGTGAGCGTGGCGTAGGACCACTGCTTCTTATAGGGGTGGAAGGAATGTGGGTGGGATCGTTGGCATCGAGTCTGCTACTGGAGCGTCGGAATGGGGACGGACCATCAGAACCAGCAGGACGGTCATCTTGGTCGTCATGCGCGGAAGCATTTTGTTGTTGAAGAGAGGGATGACTGGGGCTTCGAGAGGTTTTTTGGAGAGCGCGAGAGATCGCTTTGACTTTCTTCTTGCCGGTCTAGAAGGTTAAAAAAGCAAGAGACCCGTTAGCACCCAAATTGTAGCTTTAAGAAACAAAAAAATGAAGAAACGTCAGGACGGCAACGGACATACTGACCTTATAATCTAGATATTTGGCGCGCCACTCTGGAACCAGTTGCTGTTCCAGCTCCCTAATTTCAGAACGAACAGCCGGTTATTCTGGATTCTCAAACACAAGCTTCAGGTATTTGGAAGGAATGAAACTAACTTGGCGAATTTCATCGTGAGCAAATGGAGCTATAGCCGGGCATGATACTAAACGCAAACGAGCAAACGGCGGGCACGAGAGTATATAGCAGAAGCAACGATCGCATTGGCGACGAGTCACGGCGAGAAAACGACAACTGGAGCTAGTAGTAGTAGTATCAAGACATATATAGTTAAACAGGCAAACGAAGGACGAGAGAAACTTTCAGCTCCCGTAGGAGCAGCCGACGCCTCGAAAACTTTCTTTTGCTGCTCTTCTTTTCCTGTTCGAATCAAGCGACCCAATAGTCTGGAACCGGGACGGTCATTATTATCTCGATTACGAGCCGGACCAACAGGAGGAAGAGGAGAAAGAGCCAACCAAGACAGGGCACACAAGGGGCAAGAAGCGAAGGGAACTGGGATGAACTCCCAATCGATGTAGGAAAACCTTGAGATACGATTGAACTCGTCATCGTGCGAGACAAGCCAGCCAGCCGATTCATGCCCTTTCCATTTGGTCAATCAGGCCCCAAATCGGACTGCGCGCGCATCTGATAGGCTGCGATGGCTGCACGTGCTGCATGCGATGAGCTCATTTGCTCGCCGCCGGATTAATCTGCCTATTGGAGTTTGGTTTCAGGATGAACCCGGTTCCGATGTGAGTGAAAGAGGAAAGGTAGGGCCAGACCGCCTTTCGCCGCCCCCTCAAGGCAATCCCGAGGTTTGATGTTTGATGTTTGGTCGTTGTTCCGTGGATAACCTGCCCGGCTTGGGTAATTACCCCTGTTGAGGTGGGCGACTTGCCTGGTTCGCGACATTGAATGTGAATGTTGATGTTGATGTTGTTAAGCTGTCATTAAACATTGTCTTACAACTTTTGAAGCCCATGTGGGTGATGCGCCCGTCGTCTTCCCGCACACCTTGCATCTATGCGTCTCCAAAACAGACCCTTGCGCCCACCGTCAACGCATGGATAATCCGCGAGCTTTCCTGAACGGGTGGAATCCTGCATATTCGTCTCCGGGGCAAGATCTCCATGATTCTACTGTTTGTTTGGTATGGATTACGAAGCGCAAGATAAGCGTTTGTTTCACATTGAGATAATAAATAATTCATTTGGATATCTTGGTTTATTAGATAAGAATACATGCAGGAGAGGCCGTGTTAACAGCGCTCTCAATCCATGATCATATTCGTTTCATTTCCACCATCCATCTTCGTATCATCCCCTGATGATAGGGCCCAAATCCAGTTGGTTTCCCATCACACACAAAGAGGCTTCTTACCAGCCACCACGGCGGCCCTCGAAGCGGTCAGGGGGAGGGAAGCGGCCGGGGTCGAACTCGTCGGCACCGTGTCCGCGCTCGTAGTGCTCCTCGTACATGTGGTGAGCGTTCTTCTTGGCGTGCTCGCGGGCCTTGATCTTGTCAACTTCGTCCATGCCCTTGGTCTCGGCGAGCTTGTCGACCTCAGCGCCAACAACGGCGGCAAGGGCCTCCTTGGCGAAAGCGTGGCTGACGGGCTTGCCTATAGGTCAGGTGTGGTTAGCATGGCAAACTTCACGTGGCTGAAATGGTTCTGAATGGGGCATGCGTACCCTGCTTGCGCTGGTGGTCCTCCCAGGCCTTCATGCCAGCGAAGGAAGCGGCACCGGCAAGGAGCTCGTGGGACAGGTGACCCTCGTGCTTGTTCTCGTACACCTGACGGTGAGCGTCGTCGGATTGATCTAGAGATCCATGTTAGTTACTGAAGGCCCTGATAAACGTCGTGTTGGTGATGGCACGAGGCCAAAGACCAGACAGGGGAACCCTGTCAGGCCAGATGGAAAGGTGGAAGTGTAAGAGGGTATGTAACTTACCCCAGCCCCAGGCCATGATGATTGATGTATGAAGTAGTAAAGGGTTTTAGGTAGAGTAAAAAGTTGAGTGTTTGATGAGGAAGAGAAGAGAAGGTCTGGATGGGAGGGGACAGAGCATCTTATATATGTGCTGCCTAGACAACCCTACTCAGCATCTTCAGCTCCCTTGGGGCGCCCCTCCATCGACCATGCTCAGAGTGCCCCACCGTCTAATCTCACGGAAATGCATCGAAAGTCTTGAGGGGCGTCGGATAAAGAACAATATGGTTCGCTCCCGACTGTGAAAGGGTGGATCGAGGGGAAGATCACATCCAGTGAAGGGAGTGGACACAGGCCAGCTGAAACTGCGCAAAGGAGGCAGCGCTTCGAGGGGATAGATGGATCGGGATTTGATTGGAACAGATCATCGCTTAGACGCTACGAGACCGAATAATTGAGCGGTAATGAGGGCGAGAAGCACCCAGCCACAGCCTCGTGGAGCGATGTGATGGGCACGGAATTGTCCAGGAGGGGCAGTCGAGGGGTAAGTTACTAGCCTCAATAAGTTGAAACATCAGGTTCCAATCATGTAAGAGGAATGGTGTATCTCCGGTTGGGGATCCGTGGTCACATTTGGGTGAGCATCGATCCTGTGCCCCTCTTTGTCAATTCTTACGGCCGAGGCAGCGAATGTCTGCACCGCGTACAGGCCACGATGGCGATAGGCTACCACCATCTATCTAGTGAAATGTTCCTGCTGTCGTTTTGGGGGCCATGCAGATGCCCTTGCGTGTTCTCCTGCAGGCCAGTTGGAGTCCTCACGGCCTGGAGTAACGACCATCCGGATCATCGCCTGAGCAGAGTGCGTACGTACGCGTCCAGGGTCGGAACCACGATGTTATTGCTGGGCGACTGGGTCGAGATGGGGATCTCCTCAGCCTTAAGTCTGGGCGAATCCATTTTGGCCCATTTAGCGCCGCAGCCACAGTTTGCCCAGGCTTGGCGGGCGCAAGATGAGCCGGTCGACCCGGTCAGCTTCTCGTCTTGGTGAGGCTTGTCTGAATATCAGGTGGAGGGTGAGTGATTCCCCCGCCTTTTGGATGATATCTGTAAGTCTATCGACGGAGTATCGGGGTAAAGCTGTCACAGACAAGTGTCAGGGACTTAGTCTCAAACACTTTCAGCCGGCTAGAGAGCCTCCAATCTTCACACCTAAAACTGGGATTCTATTTTGGGTCTCGGACAATCGGGCGAGTGGGCAAAAAGTGGTGGAATCGGTGGAATCTCCCCACTGCCATTGCCCGATCTGGTCATTTCCTCAATAGTGCGAAAAGTAATGCCCCTCACTGTGGCGCAGTTTTCATCCCACCGCGTGGTGGCGGTGTGTGGCTTGGCTAGATACCATCTGTTTTTTCTCCAAAATATTTACTCTGTACTAATAATATCCCTCACTTAATGGCACCCGCCTGCCGAGAATATTATGTCGTCATTGTCGGTGATGTGTTGTTTCACTTAGCGCTTGAGGAGTTCGGTGAGTGTACACCGTAGTCAACTAGAAAAGTATGCTATTCATTGCCTCATTTGCGTGATATCTTCGGCTCCGGGAAAGTGGTCATCCGGCAATAAATATACTTTCAACATGTGAATTTAATGTCCTCCAATGATGTGCATATGTTGTATGACAAGACACACATGAATCTGGCATATGCAATAATTTTGTGCATGCATTCAATACTATAGACATGATCTGGAATGACTGTCAGTGAGGGTGGAAGTTACTCAGAGGCATGTCTTTTCAACTCGCTGCCTTACATGGCCTGATCGACGATCCTTAGTCTGTCTCTTCCATAGCTTTTGAGTTAAATGATCAATTGGTGGCCTGCAATAGATTCAGATACATACACGAGAGTATTACAATGGACATCATGGAGTATGGCGAAATCATGGCAACCATGGTAGTTTCCAAGATACTATCTCAGTACTCCCTTGATATTAGAAATATTAGCACTGCGGCCTGTTATCAGTACCAAATAGACTGAAGTAGAGTATGTGATTTTACTATACGCGACTGTAGTAGAAAGAAATGCTATGCTACTGATGCGAAAGGGCCCCAATTTCAGACCTACCACGGCAACATGCTCCTCTTCATTACTGATCGTTGCATATATAACAAAACCTTGTACATTTCGTCCAGTACTTTCGCATTAGCTTCTAGAGAGCACTTCTTGATAATATATAACACATCGGTAACAAATGATGAGAACTGAAAATATCTTGAGGAAGTTAGAGGGCTGGGGAGTCAGGTAGAAAAGGACAAGACACGACGTAGGTAAAAAGCCTATCAATTAAATGTGTGAACTCTTTTGAGGATGTCATCCTCTTATGAAGGTAAAGACGATGTTAGCTAAGTCTAGACACTGATCCATGCATAGCACTATATCCTCTCGAGCGATATCAAGTAGACTTGACTAGTTTCATTTCATGGCTCCTTTCGAACCAGAGATCTAATCTGAGTTTCACTCACAGTAGAGTACACAATAGATATAGGTGGGTGAAAGCCCTTGAGATTGCGGAATGAATATTCATATTGAGTCAATTATCAATTAATATGGTACTTTAAACCTGCACACATGCGTCTTTGCAGACTCCCATACACTTAATTGGACCAACTGACTGTCCCTGACGCACTAGTCCCAAACAGGCAACTAACTGCTTGAGCTTCAAAACTTCAACCAACAACCTTCTATCACACTACAACAATACTACTTTCCTTTGAACCACTCTGACATATACACGCAAACCACATATTATACACTGAATACCCTAAATATATCTCATTATATCCTCCACGAACTATCCACAACAACTACAACCACAACCACAAATACAACAACACCGAACCAACCCCGCCAACCTCTACATTCTACCACCACCACCACCACCACAACATCACAACATCCACACTGCCTACCCATCTCCAACAACCAAACCACCCACCAAACCACCCAACTCAAACCCAAATCCAAAATGCCACCCACCCCCCCAACCCCCTCGCACTTCCCCCCGCACCTAACCCTAACCATCACGCCCCCCTCCACCACCACCACCTCCTCCTCCTCCAACACATCCCCCAACATCCTCCTCCTCCTCCACGGCCTCGGCGACACAAGCCAAAACCTCACAACGTTAGCCCGCGCCCTCAACCTGCCCGAAACCACCGTCTTAACACTCCAAGCCCCCACCCCGCTCCCCTTCGACCTGGGCGGCTTCCACTGGGGCGACGACATCACATTCAGCCCAGCAGGGGACCTAGACATGGACGCCGGATTCACCCGCTCCACGAATACCATAATCAAGGAGGTGATTGTCGACACACTGATAAAAAAGTGCGGGTATCGGGGTCGGGATATTGTGGTGTTTGGGATCGGGCAGGGCGGGATGGTGGGGTTGGAGGTTGCTAGGCATTTCAAGAACTCCTCCCCCCCCCAGGGGGATGGAAAGGTGGATGAGGAGGAGCTGGGAGGTGTGGTGTCGATTGGGGCGCCGGTGGGGTTATCTGGAAAGGCGCCTGCATCAGGGACTGGGAGTGGGAAGAGTAGGACGCCGGTGTTGATTGTTGCGGGCAAGGAAGACGGAGGGGAGAGGAGTACGGCGGTTACTGCGGCTGGGGTGAGGAGGACGAAGGAGTGGTTTGAGTTTGTGGAGGTGAGTAGGTATAAGAGGCGTGGGGATGGGATGCCGAGGAATGCGGAGGAGATGAGGCCTGTGATGGAGTTTTTGGCGAGGAGGTTGAGGAGTTATAAGGGGGTGCCGGAGGGGAGTGTTGAACTTAGTTGAATAGTTAGGTGAATACGGGGTGGAAGATTGGAAGATGTATTGAAGGGGAAGGTGGATGATGAGTCTATTGTACATGACATGCTTAAACTAGATACCTATCTGCTGGCTAGTTGACCTCCTCCAGAGCTGTGCGTGCGCGCTCAATCGTCTCTCTGGCGTCCTTCTCCGCCGTCACTTCTTCGACTTGTCGGCCACCCTCGCGGGCGGTCTCGCGCAGCTGCGTCTCTGTTTCCAGCAGCGCGGTGCGGCCGTCTTCGCGTACCTCGTTCTCAAACCAGTGTCGCGCGGACTCCCATTTGCGCTGCTGGTTGCGCAGCGAGTAGATCAGTCCGATAGCGGCCATCGTGCAGGTCTCGTAGATGGTGGCAGTCGGCAGCGAAACGTAGGTTAGCGCCGACAATGCCGAGGTCAAGGTGGTCGTGGACATGCTGAAGAAGACCAGACGCTGCGCCAAGGCCTGCAGCGACGGCACTGTCGTCTCCATGAGCCGGCGACGACTAGTCGCGATCTGCGCTGGCCAGGACGTCTGCTCCTCTTGCATGGGAGTCGCATCGGTCAATCCGGCCTGCTGGAACCGGCCGGCAGTCCAGATGACCTCCTTTTCGGCCTGGCGCAGGTACTTCCGGTCCAGGATCTCCGACGTGATCATCCCGACGTCGTCCACATGCCAGAACAGCTTCCACCACGCCAGTCCGCGCCACGGCTTGCTGGCAAAACCTTCCTCAAGCGAGCTGCGGAGCTCCGTGTGCCCGCGCTCCGCCCACTCGGACACAGACCGCTCAAGCACATCGCGAGTCTCCCACGACACAGCGCCGCTTTCTTGCTCCAGCAGCTTCCTCTTCTCGGCAGCGGCGGCACCCGCTTCCGCGGCATCCAGAAGAGACGTGATCAACGTCCGCAAGGACGGATCCAGCGTCCCTTCCTCAGCTCGCAGCGAAGACAACCAGTCCACCACCGGCTGCACACCACTGCTGTTCCAGCCACGTTCGTAGAGAGAAGCATTCTGCACCGACTCGCGGAACTTCGCCAATGCCTCATCCGCCTTGTCAATATCCACAAACGCAACCCGGCCATCGTACTTCTGTGGCTCCGTGACCGCCAGCTCAATAGCCCCAAAGACCGACACAGCTTCCTTCTTCAAGTCCGACCGTGCCATCAACCCGCTATACGCCAGGAATCCATCGACACCGCTACCGCACACGATACTGCGATGCACGGGATAGCGCACCATATTATGCCGGCCGGAATGCGACGTGCGGATCGTAACCGTGGGCACGAGGAAGGTGTCAGCCGTAAATGGGTGAGACTGAGTAGCATCCGCGACGCCTGCCGACTCGGCACCAAGTGTCGTAACGAGGATTTCCAAATTTCCCTTCTTCAAAATGGGCGAGGGAACTGAGATCGTAGGAAGTAGATCGTTGGGGATTGTTTCGGAGACTTCGCCGTACCTGCATATAACTTAGTGCCTGGTCCCCATAATGCCATGCGTGTTTGTGAATGTAGACCTACCGAATCAACAAACCCCTCTCCGTATCTTCACCATACGCATCCAACGCATCCTCCCAGCTCTCCCTCGAATTCAACGGGTCCGCCAACAGCAACCGAACCAGTCTGCGCGCCGCAGTCGCATCATTCAAACCCAGAACTGCCCCAATGATTAGCATTACCCCAACCGACCAAAACATCTATCACTGAATGGGAGAGAAGACAAAGACATACCAGCAACTCGAACAACTGGCTTCTCACTCTCCAATCCCCTCAACGCAAGCTGCAACCGACTCAAATTCACCTGTTCCGGCGCAACATCCTTGACCCGGTTCAGAGCTTCATGTAAATCCTTCAATCGGGGAGGGATATGTCTTGTGTGGACGACGGATGTGGTCGCAATGCCGCTACGCTGCAAGGATGCCCATGATTGTTGTTGATGTTGTTGCTGTGGTAATTGTAGTCGGGTTCGACGCGAGGAGAGGGAGCGGCGCCAGGTGGAACAGGACGGGCAGTAGAAGACTGATGAGGAGGATGATGAAGAGGAGGAGTCTTGGATCTGCGACAGGCTCTTGGAGAGCGTGCCGCGGAGTTTGGGAGGCATTGACTGCGTGTTTGGTGAAGAGGGATGGGATGGGGGAGGAAGTGGTGGAGGATGTTGGCAGGGCCGGTCGGAGATTCTGGCGCGGGACTTTCGGCGGTCTTGGCGGAGCGTAGCTTATACCTTAGTCTTATTATAAGCGTAGGCTATGGAGTCTGGGGTAACAATAATCGACGGTAATCAATTGACTATTTTAATAAACTAGCCTGTACAATACGAACAGCTCAATTCATGGTGTATCGATTCATCAACTCATGGTCGAGTCGTCACGGACGCTCGATTGCTGTGCAGGAATTACACAAAGCCCCCCGTCCACCTCTCCATTATGCAATACAGTAATCTTTCGCGACAAAGTATAGGAGCTACTGAATTGCAACTGTCACCACGTTGGCGTTTTTGAGGTGACAGTATATAATTCACCCATACACGGAGTAGTTCATACCCCGAATTGCAGTACCTCTGCATGCCGCTTCGAAAGATGCTGGTTCAGATGGAACACCCAGTTACTTCCTAATCGCTCATGCTTCTCGAGAATCCCGAGTAGCATCCCTTTGTCGCCGAGTCTTGCCCGATCCCGCCGACCTGAAACTCGTTAGTATGATGGTCTGGAACGATCATTCTGCTTCACTTACATGCTAATCCGCCTGGCCACAGTCGCCAGCCCGGCGTCGTTCTCTGCCTCATGATGCGCCCGCTCAAAGGCAATGCGTCTGTCTTCTTCGCTGCGCCGGATGACCTCCTCCTGCGACGGGGGCAGACGTTCGTTTTGCAGATCGACCTTGCGAGCATCTTCGAAGTTGGTAATGGCCTGCTTGATACCCTCCGCTCCCAGCATCAGAGTACCCGCTGGGAGACGACCTCCAGCAGCGGTCTTGAGTTCGGTGACCCGCTCGGACTCTTCACGCAACACCTGGAATACACGCGACAGACGGCCAATGGCAAGAATCTTGTTCTTGATCGCACGTCGCTTGAACTCGCTGCTTTCGATATCCATCGCCGCAGGAGGAGAGGGGGGTGCAGCGGTGGGCGAGACCGACGTGGGGGTATCATCTTCAAGTTCCTCCTTGGAGCAGGTGTTGAGAATGGCAATAAGCATGTCCGTAATCTTCTCACCGACGAAGGGAAGCGACCAGGTGAAGACGTCCATGAAGTTGGGGAGCCAGTACGGGTGAGGGGTGCAGTTGAACTGTCGGATATTCATGACGTTGTTCTCGTATTTCAGGACGGCGGCCTTGTTGTTGTAGACATCCAGGTAGTTGGGAGCACTGAAGATGGTCATGACACTGGGGAAACCGGTCGTACGTGTCTTGCGGTACATGCGGTAACCGGCATCCTGTGCCTCGTGCGCCCGAATGATGGAGAGAAGGTTGTTCTTTTCGAGGAAAGCGCACGCCGCGGGGTATGAGAAGAAATACGAGCATCCACGGACGCTGTTGTGGATGAAGTAGTCACCGGTCTTCTCCTGCCCGAAGTCTTCCAGAGGATCGGCCCAGAGGATGTCGCACATCAAGCCATGAGTCGGGGGCTCCCTAAAACGATCAATCTGTCGCCAAGTCAGCCAGCAATCCACCAGATGTAGTGTTCAGCCCATAACATACCGCCTTAATATCTTCCAGAGTGTGCAGCTCGGGACTGAGACCTCCGTGGATACAGAGGAACTGCTTGTTCATGACCGCCGCCAGCGGCAAGGAGCAAAACGATTCGATGCATGCCTCGTAAATGCGCTCGCTGTATTTGTGTTTGCACTCGAGCTTGAAAGTGAAGTAGTCCGTCAAATGCCGACATTCATGATTACCCCGCAGGAGCCAGAGCGTATTCGGATACCAGATCTTGAGAGCCCAGAGATACAGGACACACTGTAGCACGCGAGTCAGTGGATGTGGCAATTACCGGACAGCTTGCGATCACACGAACCTCAATACTGAAGTAACCTCTATCCACATAGTCACCGAGGAAGAGATAGCGCGTCTCGGAAGGATCTCCGCCGACCTCAAAGAGCTTCATTAAGTCGTAATATTGTCCGTGAACATCACCGCACACGGTGATGGGCGCATCCATCTCCAGCAGGTTGGGTTCAGCCCTGAGGAGCTGAGTACCGGCCTGTATGATCCATAGCGCCTGATCTTCAGTGAGACGACCTTCGCGGTAGAAGTGCTGCTTGAGGAACTGCAGGTTGGGCTTAGAAGGGTCTTCACGAGACCAGAACAGGTCGTCCGGCGGGGTGTTCAACGCCGGCGCTTGCACCTCTGAAAGACCAAAGAGTGATTAGGAGAGCGCTCATGCAGATAGTTAAGTAGAGGGAAGGCAGAGAGAGAAAAAGACATTGTGGCGTTACCTTTAATTACTCGCTCCATGGTCGACACCTGAGTGCCATCTTCCATAACATGTAACGTAAAGTCGATCTCCGGGACCGGCTTTTTATCCGTCACCGCACGCGCGATAGTGCGATCCATGGTGACTTAAGTGATAGGGAAGACGTAGATCTTGGATCTGGGGAAATCGCAAGAACGTCGTGCCCCGGGGGGTTGCGAGGAGGCGAAGAAAAGGGGAAAGACACCAGCGCGGAGGCCAGTTGTTGGTGGGGGGTTAAGCGGCGGCGGGATTGGATTTCACACGCGAGACAGGCGGAGATCGCGAGGACTGGCCGTTGTAAGGAACAAGCTGGACGGGGGTCACCAAGAATCCTACGAAGTGGCGATTCCGAGTATGACAAGGGGGAGGGGAGCGAAATAGGGTTGGAAAAATTGAGGCTAAAGCGTGGGTCAGGGACAAGGCGAGAGGGACGAGCGAAGAGTGAGGGAAGATGGAGAGAGGCGCCGGGCAGTGCAACCCGAATAGGAGAGATGGTCGGCCTTCCAGCTCGATATCGTCAAGGCTGGAGAATAATAAGAGGCTGAAAAAGACTGCCTGACCACCTTTTTTCTGCAGAGAGCCACTAGTAAAGATGATTCGGAAGAATAAGCCAATTATTGTGTAAGATGAATACTACTAACTAACTAGTTCCCCCTCTTCGTATTCAAAGATTCAATCCATTCAATCTAATCTCTTTTCTCTTCATTGCAAGAAAGAGAGTCTCACTCGACGTCAGAACCAACCGTAAATACGGTAATTCTCAGCCGGCGGATCATTCCGCTTCGTTACAGTCCCTGTAATTAATTACGCCGTCCGCGGGGAATCTCATCCATCATTGATTACTCTTGTTTCCTCTCTTTCTAGCTTATCAGTCTTACATCTTACCGTATACTACCCATCACTCATCATGTATGAATCCTATCGTCAGTACCCTCCTTCATCTTCTGTCTTGACCTATCACTGACTAACGACAGGCCCCCATCCCCTGCTGGCTCAGGTCCCCTTGACCGTTTCCCCCTTCATCAACCTCCCCACTTCCGTCACACTTCCCTACACCTACAAGTCCGTTCCCTCGACCATACCCCCTTCAGTAACAGTCGACCAAAGTAACCCCGATGTCAAACCCCGCTACGTGGTCTCATCCAGTGGCGAGCATGCCGCCTCTCCAGAAGAGATTCTAGCCTCCTGCAACGCCCTCGAGCAGCACCTGAACAAGACGCGCGCCGATGCCGAGAAAGCAATCCGGGGCTGGGAGGACTCAATCACCCAGCGCGACCTCGCAGAGAAGCGACGTGTGGCTCCCGGATGGCTAGACAGAGACGAGAAACTACTTCAACCGAGTAACTCTGCCACTGGGCCTAGAGCACATAGCCAACCTCAACCCAGTCTATTGGACAGCTCGTTCTCCGACCCCAGTGCGGCCACATTACCCTCCATGGTGCCGCGAGACGAAGGCGAAGAACTGGACAGAGCATTTGGTGGGCTGGACGTGAAATGAGAGCTGCGCGATGATGTTCTGAAATACAATATACCGGAATAGCTTGGGTGAAGGCCATAAACCGCGCCATGGCCGCTGAAACCGCTGCAGGTGGATGCTATGGGCCCTTGCTTTGGCGGGGATAGTAGCGCACTTCCTTCGTCGCAAGCCACGATAAAGTTCAAGCTTGTGCGCACCGTATTCTGCAAGAGATCACCAGTGCAGGGCGCTCTGCATCTGAACCAGCTGAACCGCGGCAGTGCGCGACCTGCGCCAACGAGAGCACAGCCATATAGCCAACTGGTACCGCTGAGAAACTAGCTCAAGCTATCGAAGCAATCTCCCAACAAACAAACATAGCATCAATCATAATAATATCACACATTCCCATTAATCTTCCACAGGAGTACACCTAATCAAAAGACGAAACCAACGTAGAAACCAACCGTGGTAGAAAGAACCCCACCCGCCCGGCGGATATCAACTGCCATCACCAGCAGCTACTGATAATCTAGCTTTTGCTCCGCCCGCGAAGCTCCATCCATCATCTTCTCATTTTCCCACCCTTCACCACCTACCACACATCCTCAACCTCCCACCTCCAAACAACCTTCATCCAACCCTCAAAATGGAATCCATCACCGCACCCCCCGACACAACAACCTACATTCCCCTCGCCGAGCACCAATCCCGCACCCCAAGCTCCTTCCACTCCGGCCCGCCAATCCTCTACTCGCAGCACCAAAACTGCAAACTCGTGCTCCTGGAGCGCGAAGCCCTCGCAGTCCCAGCACTAGGCGCCCTGCGCGATGCCTCCACCGCAAACGGCACTACCGAAGAAGAAGCAGCGGAAGACAAGGAGATCGTCATCCCCGGGGTGAACGTATGGGTTACGTCTGAGTGAGTAGCCTTCCCTCCTCCATCCATAACCAATACAACAACGAAAGAGAAAGCAAAACCATACTAATGAGAAATGATAACCAACTAGGAAATTCCTCCTCCACAACCCCACAACCAACACCGGCCTCTCAATCCCCTACCCCTCCATCTCCCTGCACGCCATCCAGCGCCTGCAGCTCCCCAGCACCGAACCCCAAGCCCAAGCCCAACTCCAAGGCCTATACATGCAAATCGCCAACCCAACTACCTCCTCCTACTCCTCCGCCGACGACGAAGAAGACGCCCTCACCGTAACAGTCGTGCCCGAGACCCCCGCTCAAGAATCTTCTTCTACCCCCGCCGCCGCCGAGGAAGGAGACGAAAAGCCCGAAACGCCCACGCAGACTCTCTACGCTGCTGTGTCGGCGTGCTCGAATCTGCATCCGGATCCGGTTGAGCCTGGGGATGAGGACGAGGATGATTACGAAGGAGAAGGAGGAGCGTTTCAGTCTGGGTTAGTGTCGATGGGGAGTGCGGAGGGTGGATTGCCGCCCCCGGTTGAGGGGAGTTCCGGGTGGATTACGGCGGAGAATATGCATGAGTTCTTTGATGAGGAGGGGAATTGGATTGCTGGTGGGGAGGAGCCGACGTTGCCTTTGGGGCCGGGGGCGGGGACGGTGAGGCAGAGGGAGGAAGAGGAGGAAGAGGGGGTGGATGGGGAAGAGGGTGTTAATGGGGATGGTAGTGGGGAGGAGACGAAGTGGAGGAGGACGGATTAGATTGCTTGTTGGTTTATCTGGCTCTCTTTCTTGGTCTCTGCTTGTGTACTATCTCTACTTAAACCGATTGGGGGAGGGGGGGTGTTGTGGAATACTTTTGTAATGATAGATGCTACTTAGTTACTTGTTATGAAACGGATCAATTGCCAAGTACTACTTTGAAGGAGATTAGTGACCATCATCTCTAGATTAATTTTTATTAATCCTACCTATTACCTACGTTCATCTTTACAGTGGAGGGTAGACACGCCCGCACGCTAGCCAAGCAAAGGAAACAAGAGAAACAATCAACGCCGCTGCCAACTATCGGTCCGTCCATGCGCCCTATTCTTTCAGGAACCCATCTCCATCATACAAACTTCCCGGCGTGGCAGCCCCGATTCCCAGTCCAACAGGCTTTTTCGTCGGGGTTCGAAATCCGTGTCGGGAACTGCCAGGGCCGGGCTTCAATCGGTGGCTCTTTGCCCGCCCGACTTGGGCTGAATGTTCGCTGGGCGAAGTAATTGAAGAATTCCTGGGACCCTTGCCCTTGGGTTCCGAAGCCCGGTCTTCCCAGATGGGAACTATGATGCCGCTATTCGCAGTTGGCGGTTTTGGCACAGCGGCCGCTGGCCGCCAGAGCTGCGCCTGAGAATAGCTGATCGGAGAAACAATGTGATGCGGACTACCCTGGTACCGCGGGGGGACCATGTTTTTGGGGTCGTTCTTCGGACGCAATGGTGATTCGGCTGTATTGCGTACCGGTTCCTTGCCCATGCTGGGGCCGCGCGAATGACGCATCGGCGGACTTGACTGCGTCATGGCATTATCATCGAGGGGGTTCAGTGAGCGGAAGCTGCTGCGTGCTGTTGATCGCGGCGGAGGTTGACGCGGCCCCTTGACGGCTGTACGGCGCGGACTGCCAGGGTTCGAGGAGTTTTCGAATCCCGTCGGCGAGCTGTTGTAGTGCGGAATCATCCAGACCGGACTGTTCTTTTCCGGAGATGGCGTAGTCGACAGGTTGGTATCAATCCTGGGGGGCGGTAGAGTCGTCACAATATCAGGCAATGTCTTCTCCATGTCCATGATACTCAGAGTGCGATCCCCGACATCAGTAGGTGAGTTCACCTTGAGCTTCGGCGGTCCTCCTTGTGAGGGTTCATCTGGAATCTCCGTAACTCGTGGGTTTTCCTTCTGTTGCTCGTCATAGCTGGCCCGACTCACTGAAAGGCCTGAACCGTTGGACTGAAGTGAAACATGGGAGATTGATGGATTGGGAACTTGTGCCCGGCTGGTATCAATTTCGTCGGTCTCCTCGGGCTCCTCGGCCGTGGGCGAGAAGACTGGGCCACCAAACGTGATTGGAGGATGTATCGAGATCCGAACGCAGTTCTGCCGCCGATGGCCTTTGCGGGTGCTACTGCTCCCTTTGAGTGCAGAGGGCAGAGGGGGTTTAAGATGACTGTTCGGGCCTAGCAGAGGACCATCCGGAATCCCAGTGGTACTAGGCTTCAATCGGGGATCAGTGCTCAAGGCAGAATTGCTCATCACATTGTAAAATGGATCGAGCTCGTTCTTCTGATCACCATACATCGAACGGCGTTGCATTTGACTAAAGTGTGGCACTAAGGCTCCATTGGGTACTGGATTGAGGGAAGGCGGGCGGCTCAGATCCAGAGGCTTCACCCACAGGGATGAGTCTCGCTTGGCTTTGATTTCAGACAGAGACTCGGTTCGTCGTGGCGATGGACTGACGCGTTCCGTCGAATGAGTCGGGCTCCGTGTGGTCATGCTTCGACGCGGAGAAGAGCGAGGTGATGATTCAAGTCTCCTGGCTTCCCACGCGGTGCCAGAATTTGACGGGAAGACGAATTGAGATGGTACGACTGGAGCTGGCCCAAGGCCTCTTCGATCATATTCCATCCGTCCAACATCGTTGGCATCAAACGGGGCGAATGTGGGGCATGGAGGCAAAGCGGGCGATGTGAAAGTACTGTCGACATTTGTCGACGTTCTTCTGCTGTCCTCCAAAATGGAGCTGTCTGCAGTTTCGAGACTCAGCGAAGAGAGACAAGTTGAGTCATTCCTTGACAAACGGAAGCGGTTTGGCGGATAGGCACATGGTGGTGGAGGTACAGGTTGCTCGGGTGCAGACCCGGCTGTTTGAGCAGTGATGCTTCCCCCACGTACCCGACCATTGGATGGGTTGCAACCGTCTTGTTTATCCTCCATGAGCGGGTACAGGCTGCCGGACCGCTCCCTATGATGCTTCAATGGCCATGTCCCCGAGCCTGGTCGGTTTGTGAGACTTGCTTTCAATTGCTCTTCTTCTCGGTCTGGTGTATGCCGCGGTGTGGTCTCCGTTGCTAGCTCGAACGCACCCTCGACAGCAGAGTTTGGCACGTTATCGTCAATTCCAGATACTGTAGGTGAAGCCGATTGCCGCTTCTCTGAATGCTCCGTCAGTGGAGACAGTGAGCTGAGTCGTTGCGGTCCTAGAAGGTGTCGTGACAACCGCGCAGAGCGGCTTGAAAGAGACCGTGATAGTGAACGACGCATATCACGGGCTTTCTCGTCCAAGGGAGATGACGTGTCGGAGTCCGTAGGGGATAGAATCAGGCTCTCGCGAGATGAAAGGACTCCCCACTCAGACGGCTTTCCATATGGGAGCTGTCCATACTGTCGTAGTGCGGTGCCCTCCTCCCGCGAGAGTTCTGTCAGCGTCTCCCCCTGGTATTGTTGTAGAGCAAATCCATCCTGCTTCGCATTTGCCACCGCCAGCGACAGGCGATCCTGACGGACTCTTATCCAAATAACCGTGCCAACTATCGCAGACACAATGAAGACGACGGAGCAGCTCACGGCTATCGCTATTACCGTGGTCAATGGCGGCATTGTCGATTCTTCCTGCTCTCGGTGCCAGAGCTGGCAGAACCTGGTTCCTTTAGGCTTTGAGTAGACGCGTTAACCCATACACTCGAGCTGGTACCTGTCCCAGTGTCTATACCAGTTCCGCGAGGGTTCCGGACGGCATTCAACGGCGCCGAAGACCAGGAAAGAGTAGCAACTGCTAGCCACGGAAACGCCAGCACAAGAATAATCAGAGAACAGAGAGATCCATGATGGATGGGAGGAAGCGCGCTCGTGAGGGAGCGTTGCGTTTGTTATGGCAGCCGGCTGGGGCATGGGAATGTGGTAGCATTATTGTCGGCTCGCGAGGAATGCTGCGATGTCAACCAACCATCCTCCCCAGCGAGCTATTGACTGGCGATAGGGAGCCCTCATCAAACTGAAGCTCGGTCCCAGAATTCCTGTAATGTCTCGATTTAGAAAATAAGTCGAGAATAGACCATCGCCAAGATGCTGGCAGATCTACAGGAGGCCGCAGAGTTTCCACTGATAACTAGAAGAATGTTAGCGAAACAGTCAAGAATTGAGCACCCCTGGAGCTCGTGGAACATGGTAGATTCCAACGAGTCCCTCTTCATGGAGACCATTATCGTGCAACTACTTTCGCTTGTAGTGTTGGTTATTAACAGCAAACTACTACTTCGTAAAGGACTATGTACGTCCTGGGTTGAAGGAATCCAGTAGCCCTTCTTGGCATGCCAAATGGCACCGCATGCAGACTCAAGTCTGAAAAAAACACCAGGAGTATATCACAGAAGGCATGAAACACCTGCATTAGCAACGCAGCTCCCTGCGCGTGTCTTTTCTTCTTCTCAGCTTCGCGTGGTAAAAGCGCAAGTGGAGGTGGAAGTGGAGATTCCCCGGGAAACCCCAATCGGGCAGCCGCTGTCACGGGGGGGTGCGGGACGGAAATACGATGAGTCCGGATCCGCCGGCCTCTCGGATTTGGAGAAACAAACGAGGTTGACTAATGCCGAACTTACTCAGTGTTCATGTCTCGTGTCTCCTGATATTTCCGAGGTCATCGTCTGATTGAGGCCGTCAGATGCCAGAGGGTCCCCGATCCCGATACCGATGGGGACTTCGGTGAGATAAAGAAAGCAAGCGAAAGCTGCAGAAGCAGGGCATGGGGCGCCTGTTGTCAACCCACGCCCGGATACCCCCAGTCTGGGCCTCTTCACCCGCCTTAGAGACTATGGGACCGCTTAGCGTCAGTAGAACCCACCAGACGAGAAAGCTGGATGGAGTGAGCGTGGCCAGTCGGGGCAACTAGACTTATCCTCGATAGCCAACCCCAAACTCTGAATAATGCGAACTCCAGAGTAGGAGCCAACCAACTGCATAGAGGGGGGCAATGGCCCAGTCAACCCCTCACCGGCGCGGGGGGCTCCTAGTGGGCTTGCTGTCCTAATAGTGTTTTCGTTGCTGGCCGTAGTGGTGTGTATATCTAAGCTCCAATCTACGATATAAAGCTGCCCGCCACCTGGCTAGGCTGTCTCACATCTTCACTTCGTTCTCTCCCGACTCTCCTGCGTTACCTGAGAACTTTCTCTCTTTACACCCCCTTTCCACCCATAGATCCGATAATGGCTGCCAGCCCTCAGAAAGATGGACTCTTTGTCCATGACAACACTACCGCTCCCGCCCACCCCGGCTTGCTGAGCATGTTCTCACTGAAGGGCAAGACTGCCATCGTTACAGGCGCCGGTGCTGGCATCGGTCTTGCCGTAGCTAGTGGCCTGGCTGAAGCCGGTGCAAATGTGGCCATGTGGTATAGCAGCAACCCCAGCTGCATCGAGCGGGCCGCGGAGATTGCCTCCAAGTATGGTGTCCAGGGTCAGTAGCCCTCAAACCAATTTTCCCACTTACCGCCAGGCATACTTTACTAATGCTCATTCTAGCCCAGGCGTATAAGGTCGAAATCACCAAGCCCGAAGCCGTGCAGGAGGCCGTTGACCAGGTTGTGAAAGACTTCAACGGCCGACTGGACGTTTTCATCGCCAATGCTGGTGTCCCTTGGACTAAGGGTCCCATGGTTGATGGTCCGCTGGACCACTACCAGAATGTGGTCGATGTCGATCTGAACGGTACCTTTTACTGCGCCAGGGCGGCAGCAACCCACTGGAGGAGACAGAAGGAGGAGGGCACCGATATCAACGGTAACGCACTTAACAACTTCACCTATGGCAGCTTTGTGGCGACCGCTTCCATGAGCGGTCACATTGTCAACTTCCCTCAGATGCAGGCAGCATACAATGCCTCCAAAGCGGCCGTTATCCATCTCTGTAAGTGAAGCAGCCTTGAAGAAATAGACTTGTATCATACTAATTCCTTATGCAGGCAAGTCGCTGGCTGTCGAGTGGGTCAGATTCGCACGTGCCAACACCGTCTCCCCGGGATACATCGCAACAGAGATCTCGAACTTTATCCCAAATGAGACCAAGACCGTCTGGAAGGATAAGATCCCAATGGGTCGCGAGGGAACACCTGAGGAGCTGAAGGGCGCGTATCTGTACCTGGCATCGGATGCATCCAGCTACACTACTGGAGCAGACATTGTGGTTGACGGCGGCTACTGCGCCCCATAAGCTTTTAATGATATAGATGGCATTTTATGATCTGTACATTTCAACTTGCAGCGATACATATGAAAGATATATTACACGATAGACGAAATGAACGACTGGACTTCTTCGCAATCAAGCCCGTTCGTGGCGCTTCTTAGATTCAACCACACCCGGTCAAGGCCAAGGAACTAGGCCAACCACTTCCAGCCAACCACTACCATAGATCCCTGCATAAGCCGTGGCTTGCAGGTTGCAGTACCTCAATATTCGGGATCGGCAGTGACGTAGGTCCACGATCGCGTGAGGTCCCCCGGAGTAGATCACAGTAATGTGACCTACTTTCACCCACACACGAGGCACCCCAGCATGTCTCTCTATTATGTATAATCCCATAACGACCGACAACAAATGGAACCCATCCGGTCAACGAGCAGAATCAGAAGAAGATGGTCCATCCTGTACCTTTTTCACCACCCACTTCACCACTGAATCCACCATCCCATCTACCCATTCCCTTTCATCTCCATCTTCATCTTCATCCACAGAATAACGATCGTCTCCCATCTCCGGAATAATTGGGAAGGGTGGCTCCATGACCTCCGGGTATATAACGGATGTATCCGGGTCGAAGTATCTCGAGAGAGGGGTTGCGGGGGGAGCAGCATAGCCATTGGTGGTGAAATGGTGATCACTGCAGCAGGATGTTGTGTTCATGTTAGTCATCACTCATTCATGTCATTGTGCGTGGGATGGATTCCTCAAGGCTTGATGTGCTTGGTAAGTTTAGTAGGAAGGGTGAAATTAAGTGTAAGCAGTGGTAGAGTTGATTTGGTTGGTCGAGGAACGTGGGGTGTGTACTACTACTAAGTAGTAGTACTGGTAGTATACATACCGGTGAAGATGATCCAGTTCGACTTCGTGTTGGTAAACGGGTAGGCGGGAGTAATTCGGAGTGGTATATTTCCGGAATAAAGAACGGATGGCCTTGCGGTGCTGAATGAGGAGGAAGAGGAGGGAGAGAAGGAGACAGGTCGTTGGGAAGAGAGGGATCATGTTGATGGAGTATGTAAATGTTTATTCTCCTGTTCCTCAGGCAGAAATCTGTTAGTGTCGAGAGGATGTTTTTAGTATGTGATGTGGATATATCACTACTACCATCTTAACAAACAAAACAATCGTTAACAACATCATTCAAACAGTGAATATTCCTTTCTAATGATTGTTATTATTGGTTTTCCCCATCATTTTTCGTCTGATCGAAATTAATTGAACCGGATCGTTAGTCCGAAGTGGTTATCAAGACTGACGCATCTCTTCAGTCATGTCAGTCATGCCAGTCTTATATAATTTAGGAGGTTGTATCATTCCCACACTTCATTTCCTTGTCTACTATCCCCCGTTACTACATAATCCCAAGAAAGAGGTAAAAAACCATGGCCGAACTTCCACTCTTTTCTTCTCTGAGAGAAGAGCTGAATTCACCACCTAAGATATCAATCCAAATCATAGGATCAAAACTCACAGACGAACAGGTCAAGGAAATTGACTTTGATCTTTGGGTTGACTGTACGAAGATGGTTGGAATCAAGTCGATTAAAGCATCAACTAGTACTGAAGAATTATGTCACACCTGGCAAAACCCATCCAAGAGCCAGGACAATCCCGAAGATATGCTGGAAAGATGGCTGAACTACTGGTTGAATGACTGTGCAGAAACAGACAGAAGGTAGTATTTATCTGCTCCTTCCCCTTGGTTCTCTCTATCTTATACTGATAATAAATTTCATCCAGCTGGACACTGCACAAGTCAGTCTCTATTGCGCAGGAGGAGCTCGGCGCGATGAAATTTCACATAAAACTCCTGGCACGCGAAGCCTATTATCGGGGCTCGATTGAAGTCAGTTTACATGCGCCCTCTTCTGAGCCTGATTATAATCCTCTGGGTTACGAGAGCGCAGACAATGCACGGCTTCAGGTTGAATGGAGTCTTGAGTGCCCTTTCAAGCCCACTGACCACAACTCGAATTCCATACTTCAGTATGCAATTAAACTGCGGAAGAAGGGCTGGGTGGATCTGAACGGACCAACGCCCTCTTATGGGCAGCTTATGCGTCGAACAGCGCCCGCTTATGATAGTTTGGATGACAGCACAATCAGGGATAGACTACTCTGGCTGTGGGGCCGTGATGGTCCGCCATAAATAGGACAAGTGGGCTTTTTTTATAGCTATTAGCCAGCAGTGATGATCTTTGGAATATTACTTGTTGCAATTTGGGGTCTTGTTTCTGATCTAAGATCTTGTGTATACATTTTCTGAGATGTCCTGCAGCACTACTGTGAGAACAGAGCTGCGTACAGCAGTTGGCTGTACAGTACGTTTGCTATATGAAAAAAGAGAGCGAAAAAAAAGAGGGTCGGCATGGTATTGCTAATGTAGCATATAGTAAGTAAGTTATACACCTGGTTCTAGAATAGGAATATTGTTTTTTCATGTCCTTTGGTGGTTATATCATGTGACCACATAGGTGATACCAACTATTCAACCAAGAAAATCACTGAGAGTCAGGCAAACCATGCGTATACACAATGTTTTTCATCCTAGTAATTCCCCATCCTACATCCCTAGGATAATCGGGTACTTCCTTCAAGATTTCTTCAGTTCTAAACCTTGCAAAATTATAAAGGGCAATCACGACCGGCATCTACAGATATGTATTTCCATCACTACTACCGCTTCTGCTATTAAGTACTACTAGTAAGCAGCAACAACCCTCACCTGACGCCCCCCAACCCACATCACTTGACTCCCCTACAAAGTATGAACTCGAACCAGCTGAGTCCGTCCCAATCCCCATGATCTCCCTCTCTCATTCCTCTGATTTCGTCACTTTCATCGCTCTACTAACACCAAATACAGGATTCCCTCTTATCATCCTCCAATGACCCCATCACATTCATCTCAGCTCCGACATCATGTGCCCGGCCCCGGAAACCATATCTTACCACCAATATATACAAATGGAACAATCACCCATTCTTTCATCACTCAAGTATGAGGATATTCATGAAACAATGCGGCACTTGCCGATAATGGATTGTCGAAACTCATTGTATACTCTGTACTATATGTTCTTGTTATGCCCCGAGAGAATGGCATAGTAAGCTCAAAGCTATTTTTGTTCTGGATACTCTTCTCAACTCTCCCCTCTATACCATCATATATGGAATTAGTATAGCACTCTTCCCCTCCACCACACCCAAATACTACTACTATCAGATCCAATATCGGAACCTATGATCCAAATGTACCAACCAACATCATGCCTCATGCTACACATCATCCTCCCCATGATGGAGAGGATATGGCAATGGTACGTGTCTCTCACTCTCATCCCCGATCCTCATCCTCTCGCATCCACACACACAACCAAACCAATCTCTTTCAAACCACCCCGCACAGAAAGTGTTGAAGAGAAAACCATCCACAAAAAGGAACAACCAAAATTTACCCCCCAAAAGACTCTGAAATTGTCCCTGAGAGAACAAAAACAGAATGCCTCCCTCCAAGAAGCCCTCTCCTGCACCAGCTGCACAATCACCCGCATCCCCAAGGACATCTACTATGATGATCGCATAAAAGGCATCTACGATGCCTCCCGCGATCCACCGTTCCTGATCCCAGGCCTCACCACCACAGAAGACAAAGAAATACCACCCGACGAAATACCTCCAGCCCCTAAAGAAGGCAAAGGTAATGAACAAGAGCCATCATCACCAACATACACACACCTCCTCACACCAACCCAAGAACAATCCTACAACACCCAACTCCAAATCTACCTCAGCCACGACCCGACCAACGACCACAAGTTCGCAAAATACCTCGTGGACTACCACATCCACATCCATTACCTTCTTCGTCGCAGCATGCTAGGTCTCTGTCGGGACGTGACCGATTTGTACGAAATGAAGGATTGGATGAAGAGGATGCATCCCGTCAATCATGAGGATGAGGTACCTGTCAGTGCTGCTACTGGCATTTACACCCCCCAACCCCAACTCGGACCGTCCCAGAATCTCTATTCTCTAAGAAGTCAGAATTACCGCAAACGTCACAGCCGACAACAACAATCCTACCAATCTCCCTTCTACCAACCACAGAGACAACACCTCCCCCGCGCATCACTCTCATCCTCCGTCTCTTCATCAACAGAAGATGACCGCCCAAGCGATTGGCCAGGCGACTCGAACCGACAAATGAAATATCAAGTGAAACTATGGGATAAAGGCGCAAGAATGAGGAGGAAGCGCTATAAGGAGAGTCAAGCCCGGTGGGCGGTTATACAAGAGGAGAGGGCACGACAACGGGAGATGATAATGATGATGATGCGGAGTAGGAGGAATTTGCCTAGAAATACTAGTCCGCGTATGGTGAAAGGGGGTAGTGGTGGTGGTGTGAAAGTGAGGCTATATTGCTCGACGCAGGTACCAGGTGTTAGTGGTGATGGGTTATACTATGATGGGAAGAGGAGGTTTCTGAGGGAGGTGGAGGTCGAGGAGATGGCATTTGGGGAGGTTATTAGATGACTAGGAGCAATGAAATGGACATATGGATTAATGAGCTGTCTGTCCGGTAAAGTGTAGTGCTTTTCTCAGTTTCTTCCCAGTTTCCTCTTAATCTCCCCTCTAAATTACATGTGATAAGTCAGGGGTGAGGATGGGGTGGAATGTAGGAAGGTGACCATCCATTCTTGAAGCCGGATGGATGGAATGCGAGCAAACCGAAAGCAATAATGAAGGTGCACCACCATTCCTTGACATGTGAGAGATACCGTAACCATGTCTTTACTGTGTTTAACTGCACAAAGACAATCTATCATTCATAGCATGATTCATACTCTCATATCCTATCATCAAAATCTACCTAATATCCAAGTCATAATATGTCATATCCAACTCATAATATGTCCCCCACAACGAGAACCGACCCCAAACCAAGAATTCCATCACTCCACAGACAAGCAATCATCCGGATCAAAGTACCCGCCAGACGACCGCATCCCAAAATGCATCGCTTCAATCGCTTCGTGCCCCTCATATTCATCTTCCCCGTCTAGCCTCTCTTCACCTTCCTCAACCACATCCTGTGCGGTAAGCTGAGCAACCACCTTCTGATTGACACGGTAGCAAGAAAGAATCTCCGACGTCACTGATCGTGCCGGTAGGTTGCTCGATTTGATCTGGCAGAGGACCTCGCCAAAGGCATGCATAACGAAGCTGGCGCGCGGATATTCGTTATATGTGTAAGATGCAAGGACCCGGAGCCATACGTCACGGCAGTGCTGCCAGACCAGTATCAAAGGGTGATCGCCTTCCGGGGGAGGAATGGATCTGGCCTCTCCTGCAGCGTCCAGCGCGTGAGGGGAGAATGAGTCCTGACTTCGGGAAATAGCCATGTTCCATTGGATGTAGAGTTTTCTGATCTTTTCTCTTATGCCCTTAGCGGCGGCGAATAGCTGACCGCGTTGGCCTTCGTTCTTGATCTTTTCGCGGATCGTACGCCAGGGCCGTGTCAGGTCTTCGTCTTTGCGGAAGGATGCCTCCTCTTCTGGAAATTCTGCCTCGAGCTTGGTAAGCATCTTGTCCCGCTCCTGCGTGGCGACTTCGAACCGGAGATAATCGATGATGTTGGATTTCTTGGGTCTCCGGCCGGGCTTCTTGTATGCGGGAAGTTCGCGTGCCCGGGGGCTGATCTTCTTGCGATATTGCCGCCATGCTTGTTCGGATAGGTGGACTCCTGCTTTGCGGCCGTCGACTAGGTGACTGAGGAGACAGGCGAGTTCCTTCGCTTTGTCTGAGTCGATTGACTCCTCGTCGTAGGCGATCATCTCATGCTCCACGGTACAGCGACCTAGGTTTGACAGGGTCAAATTGAATGTGAATGAGCTCTGGAGGAACTCATCCATGGATTGGATGTGTTCCATGTCTACAGCGTACTTGGTGAGTCCGTAATACTCCGGTGGAAACTCTGTATCTGGCAACTTAGAATTGTTGAAGTTTTGGACGACGTTCTGGTCCCAGCAAATCCAAGGTGTATCGCCATCGTAGTCACCACCAGAGAGCATATGTGCCAACGGTATGTTGCCAACACTGGGAAAGACAATTACGTCTTTGAAATGTCGTAGCTTTGTATTCCACACTGCCTTCCGGCGTTGGATATCAGAGGGCAGATGGGCGGGAAGACGGCCGACGAGGACATCAATGTCATCTAGTAGAATATCTTCATATTGCCCCTTTCCATCGCGCCAGATGTTCGAAAAGCCAAAATGAACTTCATCCTCCTTTAAGACTCCGTATGGGTCAGCAATGCAGAACGCGTATGTTGAGAGGGGCACTTCAATGCGAAGTTCGTCCACATGCCGCTTCAGGAGCTCTCGTAGGCACTTCCCTAATCGCTTACGGAGGAAATAGAAGCTCCGAGGACAGAAGCCAGCTTCAGTAAGGCGGATTATAAACTCGGCATCATTGCTCATCCAATTTTCGAATCGCCAGGTCCTTTGAGACACCGGACCAAAGCCATCATCCCCCGAAGGGCGGATTTTCTGCACTAGGCTCCGGCAGAGCACTGCGCTGTCGGATTCGAGAACGTCCGCAAATTCCTGATATAACGATTGGATTCCTAATCGCATGAGATCTGCGAGATGCTCCTTAACATGCCCACCGTGATCCAATATGCTCAAAAGCTGTATATTCAGATTCACGGGGTGCAAAGGTTTAGACCATTTAACAACCTCAAAAGGTAAGTTTCTCATCGTCTACCGACCCATCCCACTCGTGAGGATGCGGCTTTATCTTCAACTGCGTGTCTGATATTTGGATCCATACATCATCGTCAGCTGTGACGTGAGATTGATGTTTGTCGACCATCCACAACCCTTTCGCACCTGCTATTCTACCCTGGAAGGCGCTTGGGGTGTATCCTGTCAGTCCTAATGAATCACAAATCTGATTGGCCAAGTTTCTAGACATCAGAGCGCAACCGTCGTTCATGACAGGTTTGGATACATCTGGTAATGGTAGAGTTTGCCGTGGTTGTAGGACCACTGTAGCGTAGGTTTTCGAGAGAGCCAATGAGAAGCGTTGAAACAATTTGCAGTTGGTTTGCGTGAGGTTTTCTTCTCGAGGAATGTGCCAACCTATCAGCGCATCTAGGCTCATTGGAGTGCGGTTGCTACTGTCTTGATGGGGAGGTGCAATAGGAGGGGCAGGGGAACCATGGTCAAAATCAATCCCATCGATTGCAAAGAAATCAATTCGGAATTTGGGTTCGTCTGCCTTGCGTTTCGACTTGACCTCATCCACGAAAAAAGGCCTCCACGTCCTCCCTAAGCATCGGTGAACATTCTGCGTTAGCCATAAACCCAGGGTTTCTCGCAGGAGTGTAGGCTGAGAGGGCAGTCGAAGATGTGATGGAGGCCGCGCCGGAGCTGGCAGTGTCAGACTGAGAAACCTATCAGATCCAAATCGCCGGTGAAAGCGACAGGTCCGTTCAGTCTTCAACGGATTCAATCTTAACTTCAAGACCCCTTGTTCGGACCACTCCAAATCCCCAGTTAGTACGACAACTTCTGAATGTTTGTCAGTCCTGAAGTTCCCAATAGCTGCATCCCAAGCCTTGCGAGAGGACTTTTCGGGGAGCCGTTTCCCTTCCCGCTGATTATGCCCCTCTATCCAGCGCCAGAAATCATCAAGCGTCTTGAAAGAGATGTTGGGACCAACCAACATGCGGTCCAAGGATACACCCCACTCTCTAGCCACTCTCTCGAGTTCATATCTATATCGAAGCGTGACGGAACTTGGGTATTGATGATCGAGTGAGAATGGTCCGAATTGGAGAAGGTCTGTCATAATGCGCCCCTCGATAGAATCGCGAGGCTCCTGGCAAGCGAGTTGCTCTAGATTCTGTATTTCAGCAAGGTTTGTTGCTGTTGTTTGCTCACTCAGATAATGGCCCCCTACGGAGTCCTCGTACATGGCTTCGGTTTCCAACATTGACTCATCGACTTCAGTGGTGCTCGAAGTGAACGAGGTCTCGTAGGGAGCAGTGGTCGAATAAAGAAAGCTGGAAGAAGTATCAGCTACAGTGCTGAAGCTAAAATTTGCCCGATCGTTGGAGGTTGGTGTTGCATCATAACGCTGGTAACTGTCGGAACCCCTCAGGCGTTCCACAAATTTGGAGGGTTTATCGTTGTCGGTTGTCTTGGGGCTTTTAAATACGTTGAATGGCACTGTGATGTTTGATGGCTGCAAGACCGGAAACCCGGTCCTGTTGACGTTTCCAACGGGAAGGTCACAGGCGTCTTCCATGGATATAGGCGATTGCGGCCTGTCTGGATCCTTGACCGGAGAGTTGGGAGCCGTGTGGAATTCCTCTTCCACGGAAAGCCTTCTCTTGAGCGAGCTGCCTGATGGCGCAGGAGGCTCTTCTGCCAGTTCGTCGACCTTCCTGGGAGCTGGAAAGGAGCCATTAAGCAGATAGAGTTCGTCATTGATCAATCTTTCGAGATATCGTTGACGCTCCTCCTTTGCGATAGTATTGCTCCCGTTGCTAATAAAGATATCTCTCGGGGTGTTCGCGAATGAACCTGGTATATGTCCCCATTGACCATCCCCAGCAGATAGCACCATTGATTGGGAGACAATCCACTCTTCGAAGTCATTGAAGATCCGGTTCAAGTCCACCTTGCGGTTGAAGTATAGCACTCTGATCCGGCCATAAAGGCTCCAGCCAAGTGACTTATCATTCTTGCCAATAGATGGAGAAAAATAGACGGGATTTGGGATGTCCAAGCCGAATTGCTCGTTTATCGAATCGATCAACTTGTTCAATTCCTGACCAGTTCTGACTGGGGTACGGGGGAAAGTCATTTCGTGGTATAGATGGACAAGCGACGGGGATTCTTCGGTGCACTGGCAGTTTTATGAATTGTTACGTTGCAAAGAAGCGATGCGCACTTGTCCTATCCAAACCTCTGATTGAATCTCCCCTGTAGTATTCTGGCAGAATGGTAACCATACAAACAAATGGTTGGCTCAATAAATCAAACGGAGTTTGATCTCGGCATCATGCACATGAAATGCATAGCCCTTCTGGTCAAAGGAGGGAAACTAGACTGATGCTGTTTAAAAATAGGAGTCGCAGAGGTTGAGACGAGGAACAGGGAGGGGCATGCACAACGGATGGAGATGCAGAAGAGAAAGAAAGAGGGAGAGGTGTTGAGCCCACACTAACTAACAACATCCATGACAGCTCCCCCACCCCAGCAAATCATGGCTGAATGTTTGGCGCCGTTACCGCTCAGCCTTGTGTGCTACAGGCTTATTAGTACTTATTTATACATCTACAAGGCTGGAAGCCTGATTCTGGTGATCCAGTAAGAGTGCTTGACTGCAACCGTGATTGTTATGATGATTCGAGGATGTCTCAGTTTGGCCGCGCACATCTGACTCTATTCCAGGCCGTGATTGTATTTGTTGGTTGCTGTGTAAACGGACCCAGTGACAGTCCCCACTCCTTGCCCGATCAGAATGACAAACAAATTGGAGAAAAGAAAGGGAAAAGGAACATCTATCGCACATCAATCGGCCGCCAACGAATTCCACAGTGAATGCAATGGGGCGGTAATTTTGTACTATGTAACAATGTGTATGGGGTTTCGCTCCATAACATAGACCTCCCCGGTTGCTTGGACACGATCTGTTGGGATCTGCAGCGGCATCAAAAGGAACTGTCCAGACTGAAAGAGGTCCTGATCGGTCTACGTCCGGACCGATGGGACTGAATCGGGCCCTTCTTGTCCCACGGTATTCACATCTGCGGAGTGCGGCTCTGGTATGGGTGTCAAGGATCCCATATCAACATCCTGTGGTTGTACATGCTTGCTTTTGGTGCCGATCTTATACCCAATCACGAGCGTGATATAGAGTGGAATGCCTATATAGGAGGTCACAAATGCCATGCTGCGATCGATCCCTTTGGGGTAATATTCTGGGTCGACAAAGTCGAGCCCACGTATGACCGTGACAAAGACGCATGCTACCAGTGCGACCCACGATCCGAATAGCCCAAGGGGCGCTCTGAAGGACAAGACCTCATCAGTAATCTTTTGGGCCTTTCTTGCTCGAATGAAAGAAAAATGAATCACGAGAATTGAAGCCCACGTCAGGATACTGAACATGGAAACCAGGTTGACCGAGTATTCAAACAGTCTCTTGGAGCCACTGGAGATATTCAGGTACGCCAAACACGCCAAACCAGAGCATGTACCCAAAGAATAGATTGGGGTTCCTCGCCTATTAGTACGGCACAAGAAGAAAGGGGCATTTTTGTCCAATGAAAGCCCGTGTAGTGTTACGCTTGCCATTTGAAGAGCCTGGTTTGCAGCCGATAGCACGAAGAGCAAAAGACAGGCGTTCAGGATGTGTGAAATTACCGAAGGACCTGCTGATTGAGCAACAGCTACGAAAGCCGAGGCTGTCCGATGCTGGGGCGTATTGTGGGAAAATGCTAGCATGTGGGTGTCATGGGGAACAAGAATTCCTAAGAGCGTTATGTTGACAATATTGAAAACCAAGATGCGATAGAAGGTCACCTTGATCGCCCGACCTGCCGCTTTTCGGGGGTTTGGTGTGCGCAGGATCGTCATTCCCATCAACTCACTTCCAAGATAGGCGAGCGTAGCGGATGGGACTGTTCTGCAAATAGCACGGACGGTACCTGCCACAGCACCTCCTGTTCCATTAGCAAAGGCCCCAGGGTCTCTCCAGTAGCGGAAGCCTTTCATATCGCGATCTGGACCCCCTCCAAGTGCAAGGACAATAGATAGAGCCATAAGCCCTGACATCACCAGGACCTTGAAGAATGACAAGATGACTTCGTACTTCCCTAGATATCGACCGCACATGGAATTGGCGGCTATGATAACCCCTAAAAAGGCCGTAGTCCAAAAAACCGAGTATTTCGCTTCGTTATCTTGCCAGTAGGCTATCAGCAACTCTCCTGCTGCCAGCTGGTTAGGGATGACGACCATGAACTTGAACCAGTATCTATCATTCTGTGGTTATTGCATGTTGGAGGTAGAGTTCCAATCCCATTCAAGGCGGCTTACATCCATCCCAGAGTGAACCCAAGCGCAGGATCACAGAGTCTAGTCGCATGGTCCGTCATGGATGGCTCAGGAGACCACGAGGCCACCTCACCTAGAGCGCAGAGAACCAAGTAGACAACTATCCCAACACCTGTATAGGAGATCAAAATTGATGCAGGCTAACCGTATCAGTAGCAGTAGGTTGAAAGAGAGCGAGACGCTTACACCTGCTCTATTTCAAGTGTCAATTGTGGCTTTCCAGGTTGGGGATTGTTCTCTTACTTGGACAGTGCATTCCCTGCGCAGATCGTCAAACCTGTATTGATAGCACCGCCAATAGCTTGGAAGACGAAAGATCAGGTCGAAGTCTAAATATTTTCAATTGGTATACTGACCAACCATGGTTATCTGTTGGGGCTTCAAGACACCGTAGGAAGCCGCTGAAAGCCCATCCTGGCTAGGAGGGCGTGTTGAATAAGCGTAGTGTTCATTCGTGGGGATAACTCTTTCAGATCCTTCTACTCCCTGGCTTGGTTGAGGCATGCTCACTTCGTGAGACGAGCATCTGGCTGAACACGCGATTAATTTGGAGATTCAGAATCTAGGCAGTGGAAAAAGTAGACAGCTCAGCTAAAATGGAAGGCGTGCACACGGAAGGAGCATGTCCCGGGAGCCATATGCGTGCTTTTCCGCATACACTCAGTAATAAGTTACTTAAAAGGGTAACGTGAGACGGAATTGTGGATCACGTCTTAGGTTGGATTGAAATGGCATGGGTATAAGTAGAAGTAAGTTCTGGCTTAAACGGAAAAATATCGTCCAATCAAGGCTGAAAGCCCCTCAGATACATTGGTAAATCAAAGAAATGAGTGGTGAGTCCTACCCACTCAGACGACCATGATCCATCATAAATACAAAAACGCCGGTCTAGAGCCCCCAGGGAATAGAAAAAGAAAACGGAAAATAAGCCGTTCGTGTAAGCGGAATAAGGTAGAGAAGAGAATGAAGCCATCATCGCATGGCGTGGCTTCGACAGATTGGTGTCATGTACACATCGCGCCGGGTCCTAGGAGGCACGTCTAGCGTCGCCTCAAAATCCTTTTGCTGGAAAGTAAAATGCATATCCTGATTACCTCGACATGTAGAGGGAGTCGCTAGATTCCGTTCTCGGGAATATCCGGGTGTAGAGCGAGTCGCTCGATTCGGTCCGAGGGAACATCCGTTGGTGAGCCTTGGAGATTACCCGGTCGGTGTAGACACCCTTGGCCGTGCCTCGGACAACTTCCTCAAGATATTCCCGGAAGTCGTGAGGAGCGAAGTCGGGATAAAGGTCCTTGGAAGTCAAGTAGCCCAAGTACTTGGCGTACTCAGGATTGTTGTCGCCGCGGACACCCCATGACAGTTGGTTTTCGGCGAGGTATCGGGGAATGAACTTGACAGGATCGAAGGGATAGGTCTCACTGGACTGCCGAGCTGCAAGCACCCTTGTGTAGATAGTCTCTTCAGGGATCTGTGACAGATGAGATCAGCTTACACCCAACAACCGCAGCGAGTCACTGTACTTACATAATTCCTTTGGATCTTTTCCTCGCTGATCTCCTCCAGAAGGTCATAAATCTGATTCTGTGTCAGGACCGTGTTGTAGGCGAAAACCATCTTGTTCAGTGTCCGGTCATCAACAATGATCTTGGCGACGTAGCGTCCAATGTCTCGAAGGTCCGTTAGGGCAAGAGGTGTGTTGCCATCACCGACTATTTCGTTGTTCGCCGTAGTCATGGCATAGTCGGTCCTTCCGGAACCGAGGCGGGGGTAAGAAAGCTGGTACCACCAACCGATGTCAATGATGGTGTAAGGAAGTCGGAGCTGTTTGATGTGGTTGTACACTGTTTCTTTCTGGAGGAGAAGTCAGCTGATGATCCACGGAAGGTATGGTGTGTGCGGCGGCGGCGACTTACCTCGTCCCTCAACCACATGATTCCACCAGGTGGTGCCACAGTGATGAAGCCACATGGGATGAATCGTTGAACTCCAGCACTCTTTGCAGCCTTAGCGAGAGGAATTTGGTCCTGCTGTTCCGCAGGACCGACACAGCTGACAACAACATCGATTCCGGTCAACACGTCGGCGAGAGACTCCTCAGGGCCCTTGAGATCGCCCTTGCGAATCTGTACACCTCGCTCTTGGAGGGCTACGATGGCAGGCTTTTGAACCGACCGGGGACGGACGAGAGCATGAACTTCCTATAATAATGAAAAGCAGTGCAGAGATTAGTCGTGGGCTCAGAGATGAGAAAAGATACAAGGAGAGCAGGGGGGTTCTTACAAAGCCGGGATTCTCCAGCAGTCCGTTCGCGATGGAGCCGCCCGTTTCGCCCGCAGCCCCGACCAGCAGAACTCTAGTTCGCGACATGATGGTTGCAGAGAGTGGCAATGATTCGTAGGGAAGGATACTGATCGTTCGAGGTAATGCAAGTTTGTTGGTTGGGAGGGTTGGGGAGGGGGGTGGAAGGGATTTATCAAAAGGCGAAGAATTCAGGTTTTGTCTCCCTGCCGTTTCCCAAGTATGTATTTTTGACGTTAACGTTTCCAGGCCAAATGGAGGGTCATTCGACGTTATAAAGGCCAGCGTCCCACTGGAGGATGGTCACTACCCACTTTTTTCTTATCCAGAAGTGGCCAGGGGTGGGTCGATTGTGGATGTTAAGCTCCCTAAGATACGTGCCCCCCTTAAAGGTGCGTGGAATCGGCTGGAGAAGGGAAGGGCGGCTGTCCTCCGTTCGTAGGCAGGCTGCCTGTCCTCCGGGGGACCCCATCATGCGTCATCGTATCTTGAATGCTACGATCGGGGCGAGTGCTCAGCACTGAGGGTCTTCTAGACCACTCAATGGTGGGCTTTGTCTACCATGAAAATGATTTTTGATTTTGTTGGAAGGAAACATACTTTGTAATAATTACATTTTTCTGTTTCCCTTTTTCGTCCTCGCGACCTGCAAGACCTGCACACTAACAGTATTGCTAGTACTAGTCGGAACATCGGCCCCAAAGAGGCGTTACTCTCTGCTGCGGCCCGGTGGCTCGGGAGTCAAACACACCCAAAGGGAAATTACGTCACTCGCCATTCCCCTGCCCGGGAAGCCGTAAGGCAAGTGACGATACTGGGGTTTCATGACCACTTCTGCCCGCGGCGGTTTTGTTGCTTGGTTGTCTCAGACCATTTCGAGCAAACACCACCATCATCTCCCCGATGATTCAGTCCTACCATCATCGTACCATGGCAGTGGATATCGAGTGCAGACGGTCATCCCTCCCAGTGTATCCTGGAGTCATTTCTCGCCCTGCTCGATCAATTCACTGGAAGCCACGTTATACCCAGGACTCTGACCCCTTCATGGACTTTGCAATTTTTCTTTTTCTTTTTCTTCTTACCTACGTAGAATGCGGGGAGTGGAGGGTCGGTTCCCCTCACAATCTCAGCATTAATCAGGTTGCATATTACTGCGTTTACTGCTTTACATAACCACCCCCCCACGTCAGTGATCTTCGGATCTGCGTGGCGGCTTCATATTCATGACCTTTTGCAACTCTGGGAGCATGACGACATGTGGCATCCCTCCTCTGGACCCATCATTGCCATTGGCGGAATGAGCATCTGGTCCCATGGTTACACGCATGGTCCGCCAGGTAAAGAACTACCGCCCAGTGCGTTGGAATCGGTTGTGGAGGCTAGAAAACGAGAACTTGCAACTTGAACAGCCTTGAACCTTTGTGCGCCATGACCGGGTGGTAGAGAAGTAAGGCAATAGCCGTTTATGCCACTGACCAGATCTTTGACTGCCCCTCACAATTTGTGAGCTTGCTTCCGGCGGATGACCTGGTGTTGACTGTCATCTGGAAAGATCCGATGCACACCACCTTTTCATCCACTTTTCGAATTTACATATTCGTAGACACTAGTTCATGCTTGCGGGGTCCAGGACAGATTCACCTTGCTGCAGACCATCCCGTCTCGCCGAATCTGACCTTCCGGATAAGGCCGCGACATCCACTCATTTATCGTCGACTCGGGCTACCTGGAACTTCTTGGTTGCATTGTTGGCTACGCTCATTCCCTAGTCATATTGCCAGGAAAATCCGGGGTTTCGAGACGTGAGTAGATAAGCGTTCCCTTGCCGTGCCTGGCATCGGATCGGATAGCCACTCAAATTTAAAGTTGTGAATACTGGCTTGCTTCCCTACTAAGTTTATCGACAGCTAGCTACAAGGCCAATGATCTCTCGAGACTAGCGGCTTGCATCTTGAAATGAGACACACCAAATTGACTGTCATGATGGACTACGGAAGTCTTCGACATTACAATCGCCGGATCAGAACGGCGTCCCACGCAATGAAACAAATGTCGGAGCAATTGATCTTCACAGCACTCCATATCGAGTATTATTTAAACGAAAGGCAGGTTCCCCGAATTGAAGGTGCAAGCCGTACCCTTAGGATACGCTAGAAACCGCAGCCTGGTCGGCCAGTAGGCTGCCCATGCCTGCCTAGCGGTCGCACTACTGCAGTCATTCAACGATAATGGGCCAATGGATTGAAACGAGGCGAAGTGGATCAACCACTAGAGAACAAACCGCGCTGGACTAGCCGCGATCAAGCACGGCGAAGGATCGTGACTATTTATTGCCGAGTGATTTCTGGGGGAATTCCAGGCGGTTGTTGGGGCATGTGAGAATTTCAGACCCTCGTCTTCTGGCTCGATCTGCAGGTCCGTCACGGCCCTTTCCGCCAATTGCAACCAGGGCCGTCCGTACACCCGCAGCAGGCTGAGAAGATGGTGCTATTCGACGGTGGGAAGTCGGTGTGAGAGTCGGAGAGAGGGTGTGTCCAGGGCCTCCTCTCCGGGAATTCTCTCTGCGGGTATTGGAGGAGGCGGGCAGGAGAGCTCCGAAGGCATGCAGCTAAACGGGAAATGGGTTAGCAAAAACCCCCACTTCTTCGGTGATGGTCCAGTCTGAGCCTGGTGTCCCGATAGCGTCCTTTTTCTCCAAACGGTGGGGTATGGAAATTGCGGGCAGAAGGCTGAGAGGGAGGGTGTCGTGGGAACTGGAAATGTGGGTGAAAAGCATTTCAATGTAACCATGATCATGTTTCTCTCAGGGTTACGCTTTTTTCTTTTTTTCACTTCCGCCGATGGTTGGAGGCGGAAGGTTGGCCTGTCCCAAAACGGCCACATGCCTTGAGGTCAATTACTGACTTACTTGCATTATTATATTGTTATTGGTCCCAGCGGAGTAGGATCAGATACTGGCAAACCCGTCAGAATCCAACGGGCGCACAATGGTGCCATGATTGTTGGACCTCCTCTACACCACGGCTAACAAAAAGTTTAACGACCACCATTGTCATGATTCATCTGAACGATCTCGACCATCATACTAAATGACTCTATCTGTCAGACGCGGTAGACAAGTGTGACCAGCTGATGAACTTAGTGGGGAGATTGATCATTCATTAATCAATCAATTCCTGCCAGGGAGCATGTGATTGGGGAGCGAGGAGTCTGTTCTCATCATCCCAGAGCTCCCAACGCAACCATTCCGCGTCCTTCAGTTCGATTGATGTTGGCAATTCCCTGTCTATACTAATCTCTTTAGCTCAACAATCCAACGAATGGCATACCATACCACTCCCGTCTGCAGATGGACTGGAACCTCGTCAGCGATGAAACCGCCGTCTGCTTGTATGGTCGCTTGGCAGTCGCTCGTTCGTCTATCCTACTCGATAACAAAAGCCACGCAGATTGGCGGCATTCCCGACCGCGCTGCTCTCGGACAATTACCCGTTACCGCACACCACCTCCTTCAGCCACTCTTGGAGGGATGTTGAGCTCAGGTACAATTCCCTGGTCACGAGGGGAGATTGCTCAAATTTCCGATCCATCTTGCTATCGTCTTTCCTCTGAACCAAGAATGCGGCAGTAAGCCATTGGTATTGTACTCATCCGGATACCCTAACGGGGGATGTCGGAAGCCTCGATCGCTTTTATTGTGCCTCCTTGGCGGCTACTGGACAGCTTTTGAATACGTCAATTCTAGGTTTCAAGCGAAGCGCAGTATACATCCAGGACTAACTTATACTATCGTGTACCCCTAAATGCTCACGGTGCACCTCTGCTAGGTATAATTCACATTTAGCCTGCCTATGCAAGGCTTTTCATGCGGTTACTAAAACCACGCTTCGGTTTGGGTGTATACGTGTGTGGATGCTCGTGTGTTAACAATAATGATGGGCAATCTCATTGTAATTGGAATAATACAGTTACTATGTCAGACTATTCTTATGTTATAGATCTCTTGGGCCATCTATACATATCCTTGGATAAAGCCAACAACTAACAGCATAAAAAGCTAAACACAGTAAACGGTCTGTCAGATATTAATTAGACTATACCCAAGTCACTTGATGGGAAATAGCGGAATGAATGACAATTATCCGCCCTTCAGTGCTTCCCAGCACCTTGATGCGGTCGTCACAACATGCCAGCATCATCACCCAACGGCCGGTTATTCGATGGTCTGAATCTTATCTCAACTACCATTGCACAGTTTTATGTTGGCGTCGACACTAGCCCCAACGACAAGTTACAATCTACCCCGGTGACCTCGCAGATCTCAGTGAAGAGCTTTGCTAGTGGACAGCTACGCAGGACCCATGCCATATAGTGGTTGATTTTGATTTAAGCTTCTGATTTCCGGCCCTACCTAAGCTATTAGACGACAAAGCTTATGGCTACTGGATCGGTTGAGTATCAAGCAGGGTGTTCACTTCGCATTTCGTGCCCGGGTACTATTGGGCTCATTATGAATCATCTGCCGACCCCTGTGCCTTCAGTAGCGACACCGGGCGGTTGGTTAACAGACAGTCAAAAGACCAACGAAATACCATTAACTAGACCTAAGGAGCATACGGCATACGGATTTCTGATCATTCAGGCGTTGCCTGCTACAATATGGGGAACCACGTGGAACCATAAGAGTGGTCGTGAAAGCCTTCAATTTCAACCTACTTGTCCGTCGTTGTTGCTAACGGCCATCTGGTGCTCGTTGGTGGGACTACATGACTGATAGCATCAGATAGGTCGGATTGCACGGAGATCATGATCTAGCTTATCGATCCTTCTAAGATAAAGTGAGATATTGATTAATTTGAACTAATGGCACGGTCTAGAAGCTTTGGGTGGGATCCCGCCTAACGAGCTAGTCGTCGTCGGCTAGACTAGCAACCCCCTGTGTGTTTGGATAGTTTCAATTCGCCAGTTGCGGACCATGCGGGATGATAGGGGTATGGTATTCCGCTTATACCTCTTGTGTATGATGTCCATTCATCTGGGCTAATCACTCGAGGATGGGATAAATA